AGAATGGCTTTGGAATGCATGCAGAAGTACTCTTGACCATTTTTCATAAGATAGTTATCTTGATACAAATCTGCCAGAAGTAGAGCATCTCAGATGTTTTCGTCAGACAATTCTCTATTCAGCAGTGAAGCGCATTCCTTTTTTAATGAATCTATCAGATACTTGTCAGCGACACTGTATAGCGAAACAGTGTCGCTCCCTTTAAGATTTCCCAAAGGTTCATAATGCAAATATTTAATAAACAAGGACATGGTTTAGCTGTCGATATCATCAATATCCATTACGTTCGAGTTAGTTTCTTTCATTCTTCTTTCGAACATTGCATTAAACACGGGTGACTTTGCACACAGGACAGCTTTATGCACAAAAAACTCCTTGGTTGGCATTCGGAGAGTTACGAAGCTGAATTCTTTTTCTGTAAAAAGTTTACGTAAATCATCCGCATCTTTTACATTAATGTTTGTATCAGTTTGCGTATGTTGAGTTTTCATTTCTTTTATGTTTTGGCTGTTTAAACTTGTCCTTGCATAGTCATGCCGTTCAAAGCAAAATGGGAAAGAAAACAAATCATCCGGTTTTAGAGTTGAAAACGCTTGAAGGGGTCTATGGCACAAATCGGTTTCATTTCTCAACCTGGAAACCATAGCAGACTGAAAATTTTCCGTTGTGTTGAAGTATCAGATCTGAAAACTTATAGTAAGAGAGCCATCTGGTAAATAAATCCATTAATCTTTTTTAAGCTTTTTCAAATCTATAATTTTACTACCATTATCATCTCTGTCAACTTTAAATATAAGGCCTTTACAAATGAAGATGAACAATAAGTTTAATATCAACAACAAAAGGAAACAAAACATTGATTGAATTTGAACTAGTAAAAATGGTTTTAACTTAAGATAATAGAAAGGTCTGAGGAATGAACCAGTTAAATAACTTGCATAAAATTAGCAACAAAAAAAAAATATCTGCTTTTAATCTGTGATAAGATGTTTCTTCTTACAGTTTATTTTAAAATATTACACACAATTGGAAAACTATCAGTAATTTCACAATTATATTACGCTTGAAACACGTATACTGTATATGCCCACTTATTATTATTATTATTTTTTTAAGATTCAGAGTGACAATAAATCTTAAGCATCTATAATAGCTTTTGATTAAACATATACGATTTGCAACGATTTTGACTACCATTATACATAAAAAAAATTAAAAAGTATGTGTAAAACATAATTCAAGTACTGTCAATTTAAAAAAAAACAACTGCAATTAGTATAAATTTACATCGGTAGCTTCTCTTTGCATTTTAATGAATTTTGAGGCAGGTACATTGTCTACGTCGCACTAGAACTCCTAAATTCGGTTATTTAATGATAATTCTATGCAAAAAGCAATTTTAACTATTCATTATTTTTATTATTTCATTTAATAATAGTCAAAAAGTTTTGTACAGTAATTTACATAATATTTTACATCATCTTAAAGATTCCAATTTTATACAGCAAAATACAAAATTTGAGCGAAATCGGTGGAATAGTTTTTTAAAAATTGAGTTTTTAACATACGATTTTTTAAATATGCAAATTTAAAATCATATTTTTGTGCGCACTGTACATTGCAAAAATGACGACACTAACTTAGAATTAATATTAACTTTGACCATAAAAGAATAGAGAGATTTTAGAGCCTAGTTTCGGCCAATTTGCACAAAACTTTTGTAATCAGTTCAGTATGACCAAGAATACATCTCCATTGTGTTGAAGTCAGAATGGCTTTGGAATGCATGCAGAAATACTTTTGAGCGTAATTCATAAGATTGTCATGTTGATGCAGATCAGCCAGAATCAGAGCATCTCAGACGTTTTCGTCAGACAGTTTTTGAATCTATCTGATACTTAGCTGCGACAATAGCGAAACAACATCGCTCTGCTTAAGATCTCCCAGGGATTCATAATGCAAATATATTTAATAAACAAGGACATGGTTTGGCTGTCGATATCATCAATATCCACTACGTTCAAGTTAATTTCTTTCATTTTTCTTTCAAGCATTGCATTAAACACGGGTGACTTTGCACACAAGACAGCTTTATGCACAAAAAACTCCTTGGTTGGCGTTCGGAGAGTTACGAAGCTAAATTCCTTTTCTGTAAAAAGTCTACGTAAATCATCCGCATCTTTTAAATTAATGTTTGTATCAGTTTGCGTATGTTGAATTTTTATTTCTTTTGTGTTTTGGCTGTTTAAACTTGACATTGCATAGTCGTGTCTCTCAAAGAAAAATGGGAAAGGCAACAAATCACTTGATTTTAGAGTTGAAAACGTGTGATAGGGTCGATGGCACAAGTCTGTTTCATTCCTCAATCTGGAAACCATAACAGACTGAAAACTCTCCACTGTGCTGTAGTTCCAGATATGAAAACTTATAGTGAGAGAGCCATCTGGTATCTAAATCCATTCATCTTCTTCAAGCTTTTTAAAATCTGTAATTTTATTACCATTATCATCTCTGTCATCTTTAAACTCAAGGTTTTCACAAACGTTAATCCATCCAGAACGCATCAATAGGAAAATTGAATAAGAAATGAGGGGCTGTTGAAAAAACTCTCTATTTAATAGGAAGGCATATAGCTCATTTTCTGTCGTATTTAATATTATTTCCCAATGCGATTTCATGCTTTCATTTAGAAAAATTTCACTAGAAATGCGAAAATTGTTAGACGGTTCTCGACTAAAATTTTCGATTCTTCAATAAATTGAAAATTTAGGTGCTTTATAGTTCACATAAACGGGTGCAAAATTAGGAACAAGTGAAAAAAAAGTTGAAGAATCTGAAGTTATACTTATAAAATATTGATAGGAAAAAATAGAATAAATTACAACGAAATTGTTGGACTAATGCAGTTTTTTCTACTCTGTAATAGACTTCTGTTAATGTTTTGCAAGTTGAGATGAAAATTATCAGTAAAACTTGTACTATCTTTAAGTCAGACAGTCTTTATATTTGCACAATGAGTTCGATATAATCAGTAAAATATAACAAAGCTTTCTCTCTTCTATATTCCCAACACAGAGAAAGCACTAAACAGTTTTGTGCAGAAAATTGCATTGAAAACGTTAGAAAATTGTTCCAGTAGAAAATACTAAACAGTTTCGTGTGGAAAATTGTAGGGAAAACGTTACAAAATTTTGCTCCAGTAAGAAATATATTCCTAACTGTTACTTTAATGCCCCAACACAGAGAAAACACTAAACAGTTTTGGGTGGAAAATCGTATAGAAAACGTTACAAAGTTTGGGTCCAGTAAAAGATATATTCCTAATTGTTATTTTAATGCCCCATTGCAGAGAAAACACTTAACAGTTTTGTGTGGAAAATTGTACTGAAAACATTACAAAATTTGGCTCCAGAAAGAAATATACTCATAATTTCTCCTTCAATGCCCCATCACAGAAAAAATACTAAACAGTTTTGTGTAGAAAATTGTAGTGATAATGTTGCAAAATTAGGCTCTATGAAAAAATATATTACTAACTGCTCCATCATAGGGAAAACACTAAACAGTTTTGTGTCGAAAAAATTGTACTTAAAACGTTACGAAATTGGGCTCTAGTAAGAATATATTAACTGCAAACGCTTTGTTGGCACCGACTTGCAGTGCTGCTCGACCTAGTTGACAGCCATCGTAAAATACCAAACTTGGTGTAACTTTTGTTCCTGCGCAAGTAATGTCCTTGAAGGAGGACTCAAAGCAGCAATTTGTCTGTCCTAACAAGGTAATTTTAAATTATCTCTATTATCTCATAACTAAATTTAATTAAAGGTTTTAAAATATATATACTTACTACCCTTTCAACACGAAGTTGTCAGTTGCAGAAACAACTACAATTTACACAATAAGCAGATTTTGTAAATTGTTGATTGATTAGTAAACCACATTTAATGCCATTTGTAAATGTCCTTAGTGATCATCACAGGCGATGTTTTTTGTCAGCTTTTTGATATAAAAAATGTTTATTCATAAAATATAGTTTTTTCTTCTTAACATAATCTATTGTTAGAACTACTGAATATGCATATTTGTTACACTTATGACCATTCATTAGTTCTAACTATGAATAACTGCTAATGAATACGCATATTTATAAATTCTAAAGTAAATTCTTTGAACAATTAAGATTAACCTTTGGCATGTCAAAATCCATATATTAGGACAAGTTTTTCAGGGTGATATCCACTCACATTGTACAGTGTCCATAAAAATAAAATGACCACCTGAATAACTTTTGATCTAATGATCGAATCTGCAGGTTTTAGGACTCAATCATAATGATTCGAGGGGATGACTTCAAATATGCTAATTAATTAGTGCAGACTATATTTTAAGTTACAAAATCGGACATAGAAATGCACTTTCTTTGAAAGGCACCATTTTTCGACGGATTCAGATTCCTGACTCCAAAAATATAGGAGGTAGCCTCAATCTGGGAAATATGGTCACAATAGTTTGGTCAGGATAGCAGTTGAAAGTTTGGATCCCTTTAAGTTAAAATTTAATTCATTTTACGTATTTCATCATATCTCGAGAACTGTTTTAGGTGGATTGAAAACTTTTGCACACAACCCTAAAATTAGTTTATTTAAGGATAACTCCATGCCAAAAATAATTTTATATATTCATTATCTTTTATTAATTTAGTTAATGATAGTCAAAAATATTTGGATTTTAATCTATATAATTTTTTGCGTCATTTTATAGAATGTAATTATTTATAACAAAATACAAAATTTCTGCGAAAACGGTTGAATAGTTTTTGAGAAATCTAATTTTAAATATACGACTTTTTTAAAGGTACAAATTTTAAATACCATTTTTTGTGCACTGTTGATTGCAAAAATGAATATACTAACTTTGAACAAATACTAATTTTAATCGTAAATTAATAGGCTTATATATTCGAAAAAAGTGATTGATGACGGTAAGGAATCGAAACTTACCCAGTTATACTTGAGAGATTTTAGAGCCGACTCTTGGCCAATTTGCTCAAAACTTTTGCAACCAGTTCAGTGTGATCAAGAATAACCCTCCATTGTGTTGAAGTCAGAATGGCTTTGGAATGCATGCAGAAGTACTCTTGAGCGTAATTCATAAGATCGTCATCTTGATGCAGATCAGCCAACACAAGAAGATCACAGATGTTTTCGTCAGACAATTCTCTATTCAGCAGTGAAGCGCTTTCCTTTCTTAATGAATCTATCTGATACCTAGCAGCGACACTGTATAGCGAAACAGCATCGCTCCATTTAAGATCTCCTAGGGGTTCATAATGCAAATATTTAATAAACAAGGACATAATTTGGCTGTCGATATCGTCAATATCCACTACGTTCGAGTTAGTTTCTTTCATTCTTCTTTCGAACATTGCATTAAACACGGGTGACTTTGCACACAGGACGGCTTTATGCACAAAGAACTCCTTGGTTGGCGTTCGGAGAGTTACGAAGCTAAATTCCTTCTCTGTAAAAAGTTTACGCAAATCATCCGCATCTTTTACATTAATGTTTGTATCACTTTGCGTATGTTGAGCTTTTATTTCTTTTATGTTTTGATTGTTCAAACTTGCCATTGCTTTGTCGCGTCGTTCAAAGCAAAATGGAAAAGGAAATAAACCATTTGGTTTTAGAGTTGAAAACGTGTGATGGGGTCTATGGCACAAATCTGTTTCATTCCTCAATCTGGAAACCATAACAGACTGAAAACTCTCCACTGTGCTGTAGTTCCAGATCTGAAAACTTACAGTGAGAGAGCCATCTGGTACATAAATCCGTTCATCTTCTTTAAGCTTTTTCAAATCTATAATTTTATTACCATTATCATCTCCGTCAACTTTGAACGTAAGGTTTTCACATATGCTAATCCATCCAGAACGCGTCAATAAAGAAATTGAATAAAAATCGTTGAATCGTTTGCGATTAATAGTTTTTTTTAATAGGTAGGCACATAGCTGCCCTGTTGCCACATCTAATTTGATTTGCCATACCGATTTCATGCTTTTATTTAAAAATGTTTCACTAAAAATACAAAAATTGTTACACGGTTCTCGGTTAAAATTTTCGATTCTCCAATAAATTGTGAATTTACGTGCTCCACGTTTCACATAGGATTCAAGAGTGGGAAAAAATGGAAAAGAAGTTGAAAGCTCTGAAGCCATACTTTTAAATTATTTTTTGGAAAAAAAATAGAATAAACTAAAATGAAACTAAGACTGAGGGAACTTTCTACTCAGTTATGGACTTCTGTTAATGCTTTTGCAAGTTAAGATAAAAATCATAAAATAAGATAATACTTGCACTATCTTTTTCTTTGCAAAAAAGATAAAACTTGTACTATCTTTAAGTCAGACAGTCTTTATTTTTGAACAATGAGTTCGATACCAATTGTAAAAGGTAACAAAAGATTGTTTTAATTCATTAAATTTAAACGAGATAAAATGATTTGAACTTAAAATATTAGATATGTATGGGGAATCAATGAGTTAAGTAACTTCAATAAAATTAGCACAACCGAAAGAAGTTCCGCTTTTAAAATGTAATAATATGCCTTTTCTTACAGTTTATTTTAAAATATTGCACACAATTGGAAACTATCCATAATTTATCGATTATACTACGTTTGAAAAAAGTATACACACATCAGGACTCAAAAAAACTCAGAAATTTTACCCGTCCCCGAGGAAGTCTTGTCCAACAACGTACCCGTCCTCCTTTGAAACTAACCCATAGCTTCAAAATAAATAAAAATATAATTTTCTCTTATTTATTACTAACATTTATAAAAATTGCACAATGAATTAGTAGTTACAAGGATTACAAATACTAGGATTACACTATACCGTAATAATTGAAATACTAAGTCACTAATAGTAATCTAGTATTTCTTTTATGAAATAATTTAATGACAAAGGTCAAGTTATCTGAAATGTCAATTTAACCGAGGGTACAGCGTTTTTTAAATGAATCAAACATGACGCTTGTCAGTTCCACAATCAAGCCAATGATTTACAGAGGTTTCTGCACAGAAATCTGAAGGGGTTTTCCATTTAGGTAGATGTTCATAATTGCTTTTAACGCTTCTTGTTTAAGAACAGTACATAATGTGTTTCTTTTGTAAGTTCATTGATGAAAAGCCTATTTTAACCGCTGCAGTACTCCCAGACAGAAAAAACACCGATTCCACCATGCGCTGTATGGTGGGTCATTTTGTTGCATTAGGTCTTTATAAATAGCTTGGGCTAGGAGGGCAGAAGTTTTCTAGTGTTTAACGATGTTATGTATCTTAAATTTTAATGACACCCTTCAAAATTTAATATATATTCCAACAAAAATTGAAAATGTATCATGAACATTAACGGGAAAAGGGCCGTCCGCACGGACGTCGGATTCGAGAAATTCGTTGTCCGCGTGGAATCTTTGACAGCCGAGGACGGGCGGACGGGTGGTTTTTCGAGCCCTGACACATATGCCCTCTTCTTCGTATTTTTTTATAAAAGATTTGGAATGACAATTAATTTTACGCATCACCTACAACTTTTTATTAAATAAATTCGATTTGCAACGATTTCAACTGCATAAAAATTTAAAAAGTATGTATAAATTTTATTGGCAAATTTTTAAAAAAAAACTGTGATTGCTTTGATTAGTAATTAGCTATTTAAAAATTGTGGGAAGTCAGTATGCCAGGTTTTGAATCTGTGCGAATAGTATGAATTTACACCAGCAGTTTCTCTTTGAACACTGAGGGAGGGAGGTACTTTATTTACGTCGCACTAGAGTTGCACAATGAACTACAGGCGACGGTCTGGGAAACATATATCCCAAAGAATAATCTGATCTATCGCCAGTTTGACCCTCTGCAGAGGGGATAGCTTCTTGGTAGCCTGACTACCTGTTCTCGAAGTCGAGCCCTTTACGGTGGAACATTTTAACGAGGACTGATACCGCGCACACTCGATCCTTATCTGGGTTGATCAAAGTGGTCATCTTCCCGCTTACTGATAGCAGCAGTGATACTTGACTTCAGTGTTCTAATGGGAATCGTGTCTTTACGATTAGTCCACTGCAGGACCTAATGAATTTTGAGACTGCATATTTTGTGAATTACTATGAATATAAAATAGCGGCTCTCATCTTTTTTTTTTTGGTTGTTGAATTCTGAAACCTTTTTTGTCCTAAGACTTTTTCTGTCTTAAGTCTTTTTTAAATCATTATGAAAAAATTTCATTACCAAGTGTGAATTGATTACAAACGAAAGAGTATTAATATTTTCGAAAATAATTTGTGAATGAATGAAGAATGAGATTTTTTTCATTTTACACCAATATTAATCATAAAATTGGGTGTCAAGCAGTTGAATTCCCAGGACTGGACAGTCATCTTGCTTTCATTTATTTTAGTGTACACATAAACCGAAAATGAGTTTGCTGAAATATATTCTCAGATGAAAAAATAAATAAAACAAAAGACCGAAAATAAACGTTAGGAAAATTTAACAAAAAACACACTTTATTGCTGAATTTGATTATTTTTATTCAATGCGACATTGTTCATAAATTCATACTTCATTTATTACTAGGAAAAAAACCTTGCTTTTTATAATCTTTCCTCGCCTGGATTTTAATTTAATAATTTCATAAAAATGAAGGAATTATAAAATATTTAATTAATTATTAATTCCGATACAAATTTTTATTTGTTTATTCAATTCGATAAAATTTTTTTTAGCTTATTTTGATTTTTAAGAACAATGTAATAGCTTTCAAAAAAAATTCTATAGTTATGAAAAATTATTGAGGGGGCACGTGCCCCCTCGACGATACGCCTTGAATATTACAAGCTTCTCTCTTAATTGGTTATATTACAATTTTAACTTAGATCCGATTCATTTTTTAACATTTATTAACTTATTAGCTATAGCAGCTGCTATAGCTAATAAGTTCTGTTTCAATTCATAGAAAAGTAACTAGCTAAATTTAAATTATTGGAAGAAGAAATAGTTGAAAACAAAATAAGAATTCAAAGAGGAAAATAATGATAAATCCGATCGCAATTAATTTTCATTGTACTGTGTCATTTTAGAATTTTGATAACAATTTACGATACAATATTAAAATATTGTTTTGAATAAAATAAGTTCTTATTTACTCCAGTTATATATTCCTTAAAACCTGCCAATATTGAGTAACATAAACAATCCAATAGCCAAAGAAGAGTTAGGAGAGACGAACCACTTCGGGTTTGAAAACGTATGTTAGTTGCTTATAATTATGCTGCCATCTAGTGACAATTATAAACATAAAAGCAACTTACTTTCTCCTTTAAAAAGAGAATCATACATAGAACTACTTTTTATGCTACCAACTCGTCCTTAAAAAGGCTTGACTATATTGATTTTCCTAAATAAACAAAATAATTATCAAATATATCAGTGTGAAAAAAGGACGGAAAACAAATAAAGCAACAATATATTTATTAATATTAACCAATTTAAAACACCATCTTTAAATTTTAGGTTCAGCATAAAAGTTTTACCCCATTTATTTCAAAATAAGGCACACATTTCCTCACATGGAAAATAAACATAAATTACAATTTTCATGTTTCTAGTCTTCCTGTCAATTAGGTATCTTGAAGAGATGACTCATTTATTGACCACGAAGAGAATCTAAAATAATGAGAATGATTAATTAACATAAAAATACAGAAACAAAAATTGTTATAAATTTCAATTATATTTTACTCTGATTTTTAGAGAAATAACTCATTCATTAATTAACACAAATGTAAACGATTTATATATCATATGCCCTCTTCTTCGTATTTTTTTATAAAAGATTTGGAATGACAATTAATTTTACGCATCACCTACAACTTTTTATTAAATAAATTCGATTTGCAACGATTTCAACTGCATAAAAATTTAAAAAGTATGTATAAATTTTATTGGCAAATTTTTAAAAAAAAACTGTGATTGCTTTGATTAGTAATTAGCTANTATATATATATAGTGGTACAAAACGTGGCAGTGGCACAAAACCTTCAGAAACATTGATGTAGGGTATACTGGGCAATTTATACCGTCTAGTAGCACTTAAGTCGACGGAAAAAGTCGACGTGTTTCATGTTCATTTAACAATCAAGTTTTTTACCTTAATTGGTTTTAGTTTTTCCTTTGGCAACTATACAGGTCGTTTAAGTCAAACGGTTCAATACTTCTAAGAGAGATATGTTAAATGATTTAAGTTATAATAAAACATAGCTGTAAAGCTATTTCAAATCCTATGTGAATGCAAGTTTTTACAATACATTCCAAAATATAAATTTAGAAAAATAAAAATACCACTTCAGATGTGCAAAAACGGACAGTCCGAACTGAGGAGGTATCTATAATATAGAAGAGCTCGGTTTCCTTTTTATCATAGTTTTTAGAAAATTTGCAGACAAGGAAAATAAAAAAAAACACAGTTTAAATGCCTCACACTTCAAGCAGAGTGATGATATTACGATGATCAACTAAATACATCATCTTGCCGTGGAGATTTATCTTAGCTTTAGAACGGACAAATAACTTAAATACAATCAGATGGGGTGACTTTGTGCAAACTGTCATTTTTTTCAATTTTTGAGTCGTGCCATCTAGGGGTATTTTTTTAAAGCTCGGTATCAACTGATTTGAGTTGTTAACATAACAAAATAATGGTTTACCAAGAACTGGCAATGTAAACATCATCGTTCGTGGAAAATTGTGAGCTCAAGTTACAAACAGTTTCAAATTTTTAACGTCGCAAAATCAGAGGCTGGAGAGTCTGCTCGGTTGAAGAAGTTCTAGTTATCCTGGCCAGGAAGGTAGGTTATACTTTACAAGTCTTATCAATTGGGATAAAAAATGATACATAAATGTTTGTTTCTAATTACTATAATGTTAGTAAATTAATAATTAATAAAAAATGCACCCTGCGGTGACTCTGTGCAATTTTTTTTTACAGAAAAACATGCCAAGGACTTATTAAAGAAAGTCTGGAGCAAGAAACTATTGTGATTACTACACCAAAGAAGCGTTAGAAAAATGTTTGGCAGAAGTAAAAAATGGCTTATCCGTTTCGAAAGAGTCAAACAAGTTCGGAATTTACCGAAACACGATTTCGTACAAAATTCATGTGAAGCATTCGAAATCTCACTGTGAATATTATTTTCATTTTCATATTGTTATTTTTCATTTCAATTTCCATTTGTTAATTGTTTACCTAGAATTAACTAGATAATCTGCTCATTAATGTAAAATTAAAATCTTCCCTAAAACAAAATCCACTTTCCAGGGTAAATTATTTCATTTTTCAAATTACCTAGATAATCTGCTCATTAGTGTAAAAATAAAATCTTCCCTAAAACAAAATCCGTATTTTCGGTTAATTGATAAATTAACTAGAGTAAATTGTTTCATATTTCAAATTACCTCGATAATCTACTCATTACGGTTTAAAAATAAAATCTTCGCTAAAACAAAATCTACGTTTCTGGATGCTTAAATTAACATAATGTGATTCATTTTTCTCTATCTAAGAAATAGGTGACTACAACCAACAAATGACAAAATCAATCAGCATGGACATGGACGCCGGCTTAAAAACTATACTTTCAAGAATCGAAAGGTTGAAAATATTATTACAATAAAGAATTAACAATACAAATAATTAACATAATGCCATACATTTATTTTCCGATATCTAATGAAAAAAGTTAAAACAGTTAACAAATGAATTTATAAAATGAGAGAACAAACTTTTGAAGTCTCTTCTGAAGCCGTTAATCCGCATATTACGAAGTTCAAGTGGACCGGGAAATCTTGGTTATTAGGGTATTGGGTCCATGTCCAAGTGGTTGCGAGTTCGAACTCGCCGGCTGAAGACTCCCCGTGTACAAAATGGTGACTGTTACACACTAAATCTGTCGGGGTCATAAAGCCCTCCAAGTTCCCATAAAAAAAAACTGTGGGGGGTACTGAAAAGGATCGTGCTTCTGGTTCATGTTAAAATTACGGACGGTAGGTTGGAGTGTGAATGTGTTCTCTCTGTAAAATGGGCTGTGACGTAAGTATACGGCAAAAGCTGAATTCTTTTCCACAGATGGCGCCACTGAAAAACAAAAAGGAAGAAGCGTAGTCTCTTGCTTTAATGGCATACGACTACAACAACCAAGATAAAATATGAAAAATTGATGATCCTGCCCCTGAGTGAAAAATGCGGGATTAGTTAACCTCCAGATTAGCAATATGATGTGCACAGTACCGATTTTTGATTATTAGTGTATACATTAATTCTTTACTAATGTAGGGAGTGCTTATTATTTTTTAAACTTAAGCATTTTTACATTATTTTAAACTTTATACCTGGACCAAACTGATTTTTGTATACTCGTTTTGTTTGTAGGTAGTAATGAGGTAAAAATTATATCATGAGTTATTAAGTTTCTACCATGAGCCATGTAATGAGAAAGTCACTTTTCCTTTCACGGGTTGTTCTACTACATTACGATGTCTAATATGTCCCCGCCAAGGTTGCTATGCACTTGGAATTAAACACAAAACACTGTTCATAAGAAATCGACGGCACAACTCAAAAAAGGATTTACCATTTCAGCAATTGGTATTAACTAAATATTACTTAAGATTATTAAACTTAATGTATGCAATTAAAACTTTAAAGTATTTAATGCTCAGAGTGATCAAGTTTAGCTTTGCATCTTTGATATGAAAATATACATTAAATCAAGTTATTATTTTTGCACATATTTCAGCGAAAAAAAACTTTTGATACTATTTTTAAATAATTCGTTCGCAGAATATTGAACCACTAAACCAAACAAATCCACGAAAGATCAAACACATCTGAAAATCTTTTTTGTTTCTGTAACTTTGATTTTTGTCTGAAATATGTGAGCTGTCGAGCTATAAATCATAGATTTATAAACTGTCATTTTATTAATTTGAAAACTACATCAGGCAATCTTAATGGACCTATTCGCTGGTTTGCTTGCTTACGAAATTCGTTCTTTATTTTCCTTTCTAGTCGCTTACTGCATCAAGAATAGCTCATAATGATGGTTATTATAGCTACACGCTATTCATAAAAATATGAAATGGCAATAAAGGCAATATTTTCTTCAAATCAACGCTGATTTATGAAACGTTACTTGTTATTAAGATAAATACGACTTAATTATATAATCTAAATTAATATGATCTATAATATATCATTTTTGTTACATTATCTTTATTATATTATTCATATTGTATTACATTATATTATCTATATTATATTATCTATATTATGTTATCTTCATTCCTATTAAGAACTTATATTTGTCTTCTTTGTCTGACGTCTTTACTCGTTAAAGTTAGAAAGATAATTTTAGATCGTGCAGTATTCGCAAGTAGTTAACAGAAATTTTTCACACAAATTGGTAATGCTAAAATAAATTAACTATTTGACATTCGAATACCAAATAGTTATTCTTCTTCAAGCTGAATATAATTTATTCTACAAGATCAAACTAATAAATTTATCCCTAAAGATAGTTATAGACTATTTCGATTCCCAACATCATGGCCACTAGTAAAATAAAATAAGCATCGTAACAAAACAAATGAAGAAATGATTTCAAGAGAGTACGTATTTAATGGTTTCAAAACTTAAAAAATATCGTCTGTACTTATTAATAAGCATATTTCAGGTCATCGCCTTGAACCATTAAGATTGAGTTTTAGTATGTGTAAGTCCTATCATTAGATCAAACGCTATTTAGGATGATTATTTTTTAGCACTGTACAGTATGAAAAATAAAAAAGAATGTTACCATAAGTAATAAGAGTTTTTTTCCATATAAATGGATAAATACAAAAAAGAATGAACTCTTTAAGATCTTAATGCCAAATAATTATTATTCCTTTAGATAAATAGAGGTTAACTAAAATGTTGGTAATCATATTTTTCCTTAATTTTTTTTTTTTACAGATAATCTGGACTTCCAGAACTTAGCTACCAGAGACAAAGAATTAGATCACTACCAAATAAAAGTGGTTTAAAGAAGATGTTCTAAACTCACCCATAATATAGTCATATTAGTGCATTGTTTCAGCCAATTTGCATAGAATTTTTGCCACGAGTTCTGTATGACCCAAAATGTCTTTCCATTGTGTAGAAGGCAAAATAGATTTAGAATGCTGACAGAAGTACTCTTGAGCGTAATTCATCAGATCATCGTCTTGATGCAAATCAGCCAACACAAGAAGATCACAAACATTTTCTTTCGATAATTCATTCTTTAAAAGAGAAGAACATTGTTCTTTTAGCGAATTAATTTCATATTTATCAGCTGCATAGTACAACGAAGCAGCAGAGCTCCAATTAAGATCATCTAACGGCTCAAACTGCAGGAATTTAACGAATAAGGCCATGGTCTGGTTGTCGATGTCATCAATGTCGACTACGTTACATTCATTTTCCTTCATGTTCTTTTCGAACATGGCTGTAAACACAGGGGACTTTGCACACAGGACAGCCTTATGCACAGAAAACTCCTTTGTTGATGTTCTGAGTGTAACGAAACTAAATTCCTTTTCCTTGAACAGCTGGCGCAACTCATCTAGATCTTTGAAACTGAAAGCTGCGTCGGTTTGAGTTTGTTGACTTTTCATTTCCTTTGCGTTTCGATACTCTGAATTACTTTGAAATTCATAAGATATTGGGAACGATAGCAAATCGCTCGGTGTTAGAGTTGAAAAAGTTTGAATCGGTCTATGGCGCAAGTAGTCTCCATCAATCAATCTTGAAATCATTACACGCTGACTAGACTCATTCTTTATACGTTCATTCCACAAACGAAAATTTATTGTGAGTGATCCATTGGGTAAATAATACCACTCGTTTTTCTTAAGGATTTCCAAGTTCACGACATCCTCCCCGCAACCGTCACCACCAACCCTAAATCTTTCTCTTTCGTTAGCTAATAGGGTGACCCATCCCGAGCTTGTTAATAAAGACAGGGAATAATTAACAACAAATTGAGCTGCATTTGTTACTTTGTGAAGATAAGCCGCCAAGGAGTCCCCCTCAGTCTCAAGTTCTATTTGCCAGTTCGAATTCATGCTCTGAATTTTAAATATTTGACTTTTTATTAAATCAAATGTCGGTTCAGAGTCAAAATTTTCGATTCTCCAATAAATTGTGAATCCGCAGGTTTCGTCATCCTTTTTAGGTAAATCCATTTTTATATGGAAAATAAAAAATGAACTAAAGCTTGAATCAAAAGAAAATTGCAATTTCTTGTAGCTACGCCCAATGTGGCACAAAAGTCTTCCAATACCTTAACATATATTTTGAAAAGAATTCACAATAACTAATAATTTTGTTTTTTTTTATATTTTTCTTATAGGAGCTGATATCCAACATTACTTTTTTTTTTAAATATCTGCAAAAGAAAAGAATTATTGAAAATTATTTAAATTTTAATAAAGATCAGAACTATTAATAAATTTCAGCCAAATAAATATTAAAAAATTAAAAAGCGAAATAATTAAGACAACCACTAATGACATAAAATGTGATAGCATTCTAAACGCATTTTGCCTCAAAAATCTAATTTTTTTTCAATACTTCAACTAAATATGCATATAATAAAAAGAGAATAAGGAATTTAGTTTTATAGTACTTTTACTATTGTTGTTGTTGACGTTTGCCTGTTTAGGCAGAGGGGGTGCGATTGTTCTTGTTTTCCAGTGGCGCCATCTATAGCCAAAAATTCGACTTCTGCCTCACCATACGTCTCAACCGTTTATAGGGCGGACCCATTCATACATCCACAGATCGTAAGTTTGACCTGATTTAGAAAACGATCGATCTCCAATCCAGTACCCCCAGAGGTATTAATTTGTTATGGGAACATGGAGGACTTTTGAGACTCTACAGATTTAACGTGCATTAGTCACTTTACTACACGGGGAGTCTTCTACTACAAGGGGGCCGGTGGGGTTCGAACTCTCGGACATGGGTCCAGCGCCCTACCGACCAGGTTATCCCGGGCAACTTTTACTATTCCGTTATATAATATTGATATAAGAACTGTTAATAATGTTAAAAATTTCCAACTTATGCTACATAACAGCATGATTCAATGCCTAGCTACTCGATGACAAATCAAACTTTAGCATAGGAATGTAAGGGACAGAGACAATAACAGAAAGAAAACGAATTGCCTTTTCATTCGAAAACTTTTATTAAAATTCATATTGAAAGAAGTTTGTACTAATTTAATATACCATTTTATTTTAGTAGTTGTAGTTGTTTATTTACGTCGCACTAGCTGTATAATGGGTTATTTTATTTTATAACCGTCGTTGAACAGTCGCCAACTCAATTTAGGGTTAACGGCTACTAATGTTCAACTCCGTAGCCTTATAATTTTGAATCCAATACAGAAGACAAGGAAACTCCTGGATCAAGTATTGGAAGAGATTTGCCTTCTTGGAGGACTTTTTGATGTAACTAACCCGCATTTGCATTACATCTAGAGAAAAACTACGAAACCCTCCCTTGGTTAGCCTAACGGCAATGGGAGTCTAACTCATAATCCGTCTACCACTGAGGACATTATACGTCAGCACTGTAGTCGGTGGGATTCGGATGAGGAATTCGTATCGACCAACAGTCGCTGGGAGTCGAACCCAGTTCAACTCATTGGAGGGCGAACGTTCTATTCGGTGAGTCACCACGGCTCACATAATCGGTTATTGACGATGATCTGGGAAACATTTCTGAGTATGATCCGAAGACATGCCATTCCATTTTTTATCTTGTGTGCAGCATAGAGGATGACTTCCCTGCTTTGGTAACCCCAACGACCTGAGCGCGAAGTCGAGCATTTTACAGTAGAACAGTTTAGTGAAAACCTCCCTGCACACCCTAGTTCCCTTCGATCAAAGCGATCACCCTTCTCCACATTGACTGCAGCCAGTGATGCTTGACTCCTGTATTTTATTGGGAAACGTGTCTTACGATCAATCCACTGTGGAATCCATTTTACTTTAAAACAGTGAAATCAATTAGTGCTGCATTTTTGATATAAGTATACCACTGTCTACTCGATGTACTGTAAGAAAAATTCTCAGGTTCGATTCTTGTAAAGTACTTCAATTAGAGTTCTCATTTTGTATTTAATATGCTTGAGAGTTTAAAAAAACAAACACTTTTGCACACATGTATGTGCAACCAAGCAGCAATATTATTTGCAAAGAGGATGTAAAGCACTTTAGGAAAACGTTCTTTAGAAATAAGTTGCTAGAAATTTTATTCCGGTAAAATGGGTTTGCTTAAAGATCACAAGATTGCGCCGAATACACTTCAATATCCATGAGATTGTTAATAGTTGCTAGTTGGGTTTGAAAGGGAGAAAAACCCAGAAATCAATCCTGGCAGGTCACGGGCTAGGATAGCCTGGTTGATAGGGCGTTGGGTACAAGTCCAAGAGGTCATGAGTTCGATCCCCTTCGGCCGAAGAGTCCCCGTGGAGTAAATGGTGACCGGTGCACTTTAAAAACCTGTTGAGTCACAAAGTCCCCCATGTTTCTGTAACAAACCATACCTCTGGGGGTACTGAGTTGGAGTTTGATCGTTCTTTAGTTCAGGTCACAATTATGATCTGTGGATGAATGAGTGGATGTATAAATGGGTATAGGGTAAATGGGATGTATAATAGGTTTCTACCTTATAAACGGGCTGTGACGTGTGTGTGTCTGAAGTCGTATTCTTGGATATAAATGGCGTTACTACAAATAAAAAACGCACCCTCTGCCTTACATTCGCTTGGTTTCATCAAGCAGACTTCCTGATATTGGAAAGTAGCATTAGAAACAACAGCAACAACACGGATTATGACGATCGAAGAGTGAAGCTTCATTGAGGCTGTAACATGAAAAATCAAAGTGCTGCTGCATCAATTTTTTAAAAAAATACCTAAAGTAGTTTTACTTAAAAAACTAAAATCAGTAAAAGAAGGGTAAATTTTCACGTTCTAGGACTTAAGTCTTAAAGGTTTGAGGTATTGATCTCAAATAGATTAATTAATTAAAGCAGACGAATATTTTAATGAAATCAAGGAACTAATATTTAACGAAATAAGTAATGAAATCAGACACAAAAACATACTTTCTCTGAATAATCATACCTTTTTTTCGTTGGATTCGGATTTCCGAACCAAAAAAATAGGGGGTAGTCGGAATATGGAAAAAAAAGGGTTCGAATAGTTTGGTCACTTTAATGTTAATTTTATTTTTTGCGTATTTCTCCACATATCGAGAACTGTTTAAGCGAATTGAAGAATTTTTCCAAAGATAATTCTACACAAAAAATAACCTGCAAATATTTTTTTTAATAGTAGTCGAAACTTTTTTTAATTGTAAAGTATACAGTTTTTACATTATTTTAAATTATGTAATTTTAAATAGAAAAATACAGAGTTTGAGCTCAATTGATCGAATAGTTCCTTAGAAATATAGCCTTTTTATATGGCAATTGAGGTAATAAGTATTACCCAGTATTGTGGAAGTAGGTATCTAATATACTAATATAGATATTGTAGTAAGTGGTATTTTCATTATTATATGATCAATAATTAATTATAAAGGTCAATTAACTAATTAATCGCTATTTTTTTTTTATACATACATTTGGTGTCGGAATTTTTTGGAAATGATTTACAATTTAGCAATATTTTACTTTATGCTCAGAACTATTTCTGAAAGAACTTCTTACAACACAAATGTAGAATAAGAAGTAGAATATAACAATATCCACGAAAAAATATTATTTCAATGAATTAAAAATAACGTCTGTAAGTCAAATTCATAATTATTAACTTCCTAATACTTAAATTAATATATTCATACATTTCATACTTAAATTAACATATTCATATAACATACTTGATACCTAAATAGTGCTTGATAAAAGGTAGCTATTAACGAATATATTTTTAAATATTTTCAAAAGATTACATTTCTTATTGAAAAAAAACATTTATTAGGATGTTAATAAAATTCTTTAATCATCCATTCTGTTTATGGGCTAAGAACCAATATAGAATCAGATACTGGGTGCCATAAAACAGTATTCTTTGAATCGAAACATCATTTGTTAACTACAAAGAAATTATCATTTAAAAGAGATATAACAAAATATTAAACTGTTTATAGATCATAAGAATATGAATATGTTACCTCAATTCAGCTTATTACGAAAAAAAGTTATTTTGCATAGCTTTCATTGTATCAACATGGAGATAAGATTCGCCACATTGTGTTTACGAAAATAAGGGAGTTTCCTTTAACGATGAGCATCTAAAGCGCATGCTCCAAGTACTACGTTCACAAAATCAATCTATTTAAACGGAACTTACCGTTTCAAACATTTCTTCTCTTGCTTTAATTCTTACGGTTATTTCGCTTCGCGAAATATAATCAAGGTGTAAGTAATGATATATGAAACTTGTAAAACACTCAATTGCACAAAATCAAGCCCGTTTCTTAAAAAAATTAAGTTGGAAAAAATTAAACTACAATGGAACTTGTCAATTTTGAGTTATAATCTCCATGGCAACCTGACCTTCATTTTATCTGTCTGCTATGTTTTTTTAAAATTTCTTTAGCGAATTACAAGGTCGTTATACTTAAACAAAAATCTATTATCTGCTTTACCAAACTTATATTGTTGCTATTATAACTTTTTTCAGGAGTATATAGGAATGTAAAGGGCAGTGGCAAATATTGAAATTCTACTATCGCGATGCATTGTCAGGAAATATAGCGCTATTCTTCCAATTTAGATGCTTTATATTGATCAATAATTTATTGACCTTAATGAAATTTACCAATACTCATTGTAATATGGCATTCGATATTTATCGGTGCCGACAATGCTCGTGATGTAATCGTATTCGATAAATATCATTGTCGATAGCAAAAGAAATATCATCGCAATCGATAAATGTTATTGGCGACAATAATACTCGCGACATTATCATTTTCAATATTTATAGCTGTAGAAAATAATCAGCTGCAGAAATTTTTCATGTAATCGAAATTTAACGTAAAGTTCACGGTATATCGAGAAAAACACTTTTTAAAATGTTGACATCGAATTGTTTAGGGAAGAAAAAAAGCGATGTATCAACATATATTGATAATTTTTCATTTTACGTGATCATGACGGTAAAAATATTTGAGTTTAAAATAAAATGGTATTTGCAAGTACAAAATTCAATTAAAAATTCACATCGAAACAACACCAGGCAGAATGGAGGGCGAAAGAGGTAACGGTACTATGCATGCAGGGGACATCTAATCAACTACTTAATGAACTGAAACTTTTAATCTGTTTCAAAATTATTGACATTTTTCTAATTGGGAAATAAAACATTTTACTTGACTGAAGGGTAATATTTTATTAAAGATAATTTTCAAATAAATTAATAACGAAGTTTAAAGTCATTCAAATTTAAATATTTATGGCATTTAAAAAATACAAATTTACTATTCATCATCTTCAATGGCTCGAAAGCTCAGGGTGGGCCTTGGCCTTCTCAAGAAGATTTTTCCAGGCTAATCTAGTTTGTGCTAGCGATTTAGAGTTTTTAGTTTTTAAGACCAAAAGGTCTTTTTCTAGGCCATCTATCCATCTCACATTCGGCCTGCCTCTTTATTATTATTATTACCTTATATTTACAAAATACAGTTCCCGTGAAAAATGAAATCAGACTGATTCGAAATTTTATGAATACATGACATTATAATGGTTTAATTTCATCAGGTTTTTCCCCTTCCAGAGAATAAAAAAGGATTTCGTCATAGATACCCACCCACATCCTTTTTTAAATTTATTTATTGAAAATAATAAAATCACCCGTTAACCGACTGGTCTTCTGGAATATCGAAGAAAGTAAGGGATCCCTGGTGTATGATTTACAACCATCAAAATCTTTGTACAGAAGTTCTGTTACAACACAACTTATATTATCTTCATCTTTCAAATAAAATACACGAATCAATAAACATTACTTTTTTAACTGCTACACAGTAGAGTTTTCGTTATAAGTATCTAGACTTCAATTCTGTCATTATTATGTTTTTGTAATTTAAAATAAACTTTTATATATATATATATATATATATATATATTNTATATATATAATGAAATAATTTCGTTATCAATGTTTTTACAATGCTTCGAACCCGGTTCACCTGATTGGAATGCGAACGCTCTACTCTCTGAGCCACCACGACTCACAATGTTCGAATCAATGTTTTTACATTTTTTCAATTGCTTAAATTTTCCCTAAAGATAATTAAACTTAAATGTTAATCCGTAACTAATCATTCGACTTTAAGACTACAAATTAAAATTAAGTATATTTTAATAATTAACATAGTTATTTCAAGCAAATTAGAGTAACTTAAGAAAATGAGTATAATATTTTAATTAAAAAATAGAAATATGGTAAAAAATATGTTTTCTTTCTTCTTAGATGTTAAAAGTGTGCGCTCCACAAACAGCCGTGTTGCAGTAGTTGCACATACATATTTTGGATAACTAAACTAAAATCATTGTTAATCCGTAACTAGTCATTCGACTTTAAGACTACAAATTTAAAATAAGTATATATTTACATCTCCAATAATTATTTCAAACAAATTATCGTAGCTTAAAGTTGCAGTAGTCACATACATATTTCGTCATTTTGCGTTTCATAGATAGACAGGAAGTACAAATTCTGTGTTTGTTCGACGCACTTTTAGTCGAAAATAGAATAAAATATCGTCAATGTTTGTTTCGATGGAACTAAACATTCGATTGTTAGACGACGATTACAGAAAATCTTGAAAAGTAATAAGTGCACAGTCCTTATCACCTTCGTATAACTCATTTTACCAGTTATGAAGGTATTGTAAATTAGGTGGTGTGAGCACAACTGAAACATCTCGAGTTATCTAACCTAACCTATCAAAGGGATCGTTAGTCTAATAGTTATCTAGGGTTAATAATCTTAATTCTTCTAAAGATTTTTACTTAACATCTGTCTTACGTGAATTTAACGTCTTTAGAAAAGTGAAATACTTGGTTTTAATTATTTTTGCTAACATAATTTTAATTATGTAAATTTCTATACAATTATTCGTCTAACATTAAAATTTAAACCCTATGATGAGGTGTTATTTTATGTAATCGATTCTAATAAAGTACTATTGCTATTTTGAAATCTTTCCGATTGAATGAATAACTTAATTGAATCGTTTTGCTTGCTAATAATTTGTTATTACACAAATTACATTTCATTGTCATGCGGATAATTTTTGTATATGACCCTTAATAAACCATATCAGGGTGAGAAGAAAAAACTCTTCATGTTTAAACCTTTTTGGGTGAAATTATTACATAATGCTATTTATTTTCGGTATGCTTAGCAGGTATGCAATATTGGTATGCATTTCAGCGAGATGCTTTTAATTTCGAGAGTCACAAATTCGTAATTTCAGAAATATGACGCAAATTTTATTCGTCACTATTAAACAATGGAAATCCATTAAAAAGGATCTCACAATAAAAGAGTAAATTCATAATTTTAATAAAGCTATGATTAACAGCACTGGAAAATATAGTGTCTACAAAAGTTTGAATAATTAATATTTTACTCCCTCAAAACTTTTAGTTCAACACTCGATGGAAAAACTTAGACTTGATTGATAGAATATGTGGTGTTCAGCAGTAGCAGCAGATCAGAGTGGATAACTCCATCAAAGTTTTCAGTTTTCACATTTTCGAAATAAACACTAGTTAAAGAAAATTAGACTTCTTTGATAGAATACATGATGTTTAGCAATTTTCAGCAGAATCAGATTGGTGGCTAACTCTATCCAAGTCTTCCGTTTCTTACATTTCAAAAATCAACAATGCGATTAAAAAAATGAAATTATTGATGGAAAACAGGGTGTTCAGTAATGATCACCCCTTATAATATGAGAGTCATTGTCATATATAAAGAGAAAAACAGAGTGCAAATAATGTAGCAAATTAGTATTAAAACAAAAAAAAATTATTTTGTCGTAATCTAAAGAATTATTTCTGAAAAAGAGAGGACTAAAAACATTGGAAACAGTCTCAGGAACCAGAAAGGAGATGAAGGAACATTGTTAGAAACACCCAGTTTCACTGGGCAATCAAAATGGTTTCATAAATTTTCTGTCCAGTTTCATCACTAGTGATTCAACAGATATCGATAGATTCTTTGCTTCTCTCTTGTTTAAATATTAATTTATAACTCATAATGTGTATATTTTTTAGAATTATATTTTTAACACTACTTTAAAAATTTATATTAAGAGTTTTGATTACAGAACACTATCTTTGCTTGAAACAACTTCTCAAATTGCTATTAAACTAATGACATTGCAAAAAATATATTTCATTATTATTCATTACATTTTTTCTGTTTTCATTATCGTTCCGAGTAAAACTCCTCTTTACAAATTCAGATGTACTGCAGGCTGCAGGAGCATTTTTTTTCTTGGTTCCTTGGGAGTAAGGCTGAGAAAGGAACNAACAACTTCTCAAATTGCTATTAAACTAATGGCATTGCAAAAAATATATTTCATTATTATTCATTAAATTTTTTCTGTTTTCATTATCGTTCCGAGTAAAACTCCTCTTTACAAATTCAGATGTACTGCAGGCTGCAGGAGCATTTTTTTTCTTGGTTCCTTGGGAGTAAGGCTGAGAAAGGAACTAAAAAACAAAATAATATTAATTAATTAATAATTAATAAAACATGATTACATATTTATAAACGAATTCAATTTTACAAATAATTACAATATATACAATTTTAAGAACATTATATTAATGGTAAGTAAATTATTAAGTACATTCCTCATAGTTATCGGTAAAAATCTCACATTTCTAGTTATCTCTGTATGTATTATGTACTTTATTAAATACTAGTACTAATAGTTACTATTACCAATACAATTACTATAATTACATATTAGTACTTAAGCACTATTAAGTAATTATTAAGTACTTTCCTCATAGTTATCGGTAAAAATCTCATATTTAGAGATACCGCTGTATGTATTAAGTACTTTAAGTATTAATACTAATGGTTACTATTACTAATAATTAATTAATATTACTTAACTACTATTAAGTAATTATTAATTGCTTTCATCATAGTTATAGGTAAAAATCTCATAATTCAAGATACCATTGTATGTGTTAAGTACTATTTAAGTACTTTCTTAAGTACTATTACTAATACTTTTGCCAATAAGCATTTAGTAATACTTAAGTACCATTAAGTAATTATTAAATACTTTCCTCATAGTTATTGGTAAAAACCTCATATTTCAAGATTGCGCTGCATTTAAATTTCCATCAAATTTACCCTCTTTTCCCCCAGGCAAAAAGTGAAAGAAATTCCCCTCGTGCCAAAAAAGTTGTATGTGCATCATTATTTAACTTAATTCATTTAGTTGAGTAATTTAATTTAAACTTGATTTACACGACTTCTCCTTGAACTTTTTTGCAGGGGAGGGGGAATTTCGTCGAGTTTGGGCATAAGAAGCAGGGAAGATAGTTTTTACAAATTAGTTTTTTTACTCTGAAATTAAGGAAACTAATCCCGAGATAATTGAACTAATATTTACCAATTTATATTGCAGCCATTCACGCATCTGAAATTGCTATCAAGACAAATTAAGAAAAATTATATCTCATGTATTTTTAAAACGTCATAAAATAGGACAGTAAAATTTATATTTGGGGGACCAGAAAGTAATGTCGTTGTTGCTGTGCATTTGATATTCGTTATCAAGCTTTATTTTTAATCAATAATGTATTAACCCTCGCTAGCAACAACCTTTCAATGCAATGGATCGAAAAAAATGAGTTGGTTTTTAAGACTAACGAATATTTAATGAGCCGAAACAACATTACTTTCCGGTTCCCCTAATATTACAGAAGTCACAATGTTCTTATTTTTTGCTTTGTTTAAAAAATTCTATTCTTAAATTGTGCAGATTATGAAAAAAAATCCTTATATACAATACTATACTAATGATAAACCATTCAATTTATCTTGAAAAAAAAATGCTCGAGTACGTTTATCTTATTTAAGCAGATAGCGTCTGCATAGCAATAGCAGGTACAAGTCGAGTACAATTCAAAAATAGTACCTTCGCAAAATTAGTTTGCAAAAAGTTGCAAACTTTTTACAAGTGATCATGAGAAGAGTTCTTAACAGTTTGCAGTAAGTTAGAACATTTTCTTCGATATCTATTTTAAATATTTTTGAAGTACTCAAATAAACTGAAAGAATAGAACAGATTTTTATAAATAAATCCGAAAACCAAAATCAATGTTCTAAAATATGTGCATTCGTGCTTAATAAAATCTCTGTGTAAATTTACCATCGATACGTTTATTCTACTTAATTCGTGTTCCATATACCATTTTAAATTTGAATACAAGTTATTCTTCTTATAAACATGTTTTGTTTATAAATAGTCACAACAATTAGTGATCATGTATCATGCAATAGACTGAAATGAAGCAACCAAAAATATAGCGCTATTTGCACACGACTGTCAAACATGAAACCTCACAGAACTTGAGTCAGAAGTTCTCCTTTCCATTTCCTTGATAAAAAATTTTTTAAATTAAATTACATGTAAATGAGTAAATAATCAGGTGAAAGTAGCACTATTTGTCTAGATTTGATTGGATCATTATTTTGTTTCGGCATATGTCACAATGGCTAAATCTAAAAAGGTAGACAGAAATTTTTTGAATATTACTAAAACAGGCGTAATGTATTGTTAAAAATTCGTTGAAAATCGAACTATTATCACATCTTTTATACATTATCTCCCTATAGGAATTAGTTTACTGGTAATGCAAACAATAAAAGGAAGTGATTTAAACGTTAGATTGTTAATGGCAGATTATTAATGGCAGATATCGTGAGAAACTAAAGTAAATTAATCGATAGATAAGCAGTAGCGGGCATCTCAAAAAAATCTATATTAAAAAGTCAGACCATAATCTCGTGACCAACACCTTGACAGTCGCATGCAAAATAAATAGAATTTATGAGCGTTTTCAGTACAATTTTGTACTAGTACTTGCTTACGCATCTGAAATTGCTATTTAAACGAGTGAGTCATTGTTTTTCACCCGCTGAATCAAATTAAACTATACACAAGTCAAGGAAACAAATAGTTAAAAAACATAAGTACGAAAACAAGTGTCTATGAAAAAGTATTTCTTTTGAAACGCACATATGTACACACTTTACATTGCTGTTTAGTAATTTTTCTGAACATGTTTGCAAACATAATTTTTTATTCTGTAGTGAATGATAGAAAACAGAAATAGATAAGTTAATTAGTTAAGCAGTTCTAAAAGTTTTCGATATGAAAAGTGCATTTTTGTACTCGCACTTATTTACGCACCCTGCATTGCTATACATATAAATTATTTCCTGTGCATATTTTTCTCGTCTAATTAAATGAAACCAACACGAATCAAAAGAACTATAATTTAAAGTTTGAATGTTTCCTTTTTTTTTTTAAACTATTTTTGAATTGTGCACTCATAATGAAGAAAACCATTATAACTTCCAAATTATTAGTCCTACTGGATCTAATTTTATATCATTGAATTCGGTATAAAAATTATTACAAAATGCACCTTACATTCTTAGATAGCGCCTAAATAGCAAATTAAAAAGTGCACATAAAACCTTATACATAAAAAGATGTGCAACTTTTGAACTTTTCAATCTAATGAATGTTCTCATTCGATTCAATGTAAAAAGAAGAAGAAAAAAATTACGGGAAATAATGTATCGTTAGTTTAAATAGATGTGTAAATTAGTACAGTGGCAATGTTGTACTTTTTATACCTAAAACGCTTTTAACTTTTAAGCTATTAGTCTGATCATCTCGGTATTAGTCTCATTCAATTCTGAGTGACAATACACATTGGAAACTTGACTATCAATGTATCGCCCCCAATTTTCTAAAAGAAGGGGGAAAGTATACAGGGGTGAGTAGAGAGTTTTCAGGTATTATTTATAATAACCAAACAAATCCTAATGTCGAAAATTACCCAGGGTACTTTATCCGAAGAAGCACCACTTTGCTTGCTATAATTACTGGACTAATAGGAAACAAACTATAAAGAGTTTGCCAAAGGAGTTACTTACATCCCAATTTTGAGCAATTTATTCGTGTCTGCTGATTTTTATATTACTAAATTTTTGTCTACCTTTTTAGCGCTTTAGACAACCCGAAACAAATAATCATCAAATTAAGTGTAAGTAAATGGTGTAACTTGCACCTAAAGTTTGACACAATTGTTACTCTTTTAAAATATGTTAAAAATACTTATGTTTCAAAGTATTTGAATGAAATTTGAATGAATGTTCCAATTGGCATATTAGATAATGTGAGATGTTAGTGATAGGAAACTTGTATGTTGGAGAATAGGTGTAATAGTGTCGGATCAGTGAATCAGTTAATCAGCGAATTGATGCATTAACGAACTGACGAATCAATACAGCGGCAAAATAGCAGATGTTAGAATCGGAATATTATATATTATGAGCAATCAGTAATTGGAAATTAGAATGTTAGTAAATCAACATATTGGAGTCGGATCAGTGAATTAGAAAAAAGTGAGTCGGATAATCAGTGAATTGATATATTAATAAATGGATGCATTAGCTTATAAGTCTCAAGTGTTAAAAATGAATTAAGTTGAACATTGTTGAGCATTATTTAAATCTTTTTGAAAATGATTTGAATACGCTTTTGTTTAAAAATGTATAACATTTTGATGTGGAATTGTAAAAATCCAAAGTTTATCAGGCACAGAAAAGATTGTTAATCTGGAAAGTTTTTGTTTTTCAGAAATAACACTGTTATAGTCATTTAATAAGGTATTACAGAGCTTTGGAAAAAACCCAAATTTGATGTGTGATTCTTTACAGTTTTATGTCAGGTATTTAATTAAAGATTTTAGTTAAATTCGATAGTTTATCACTCAATTAAAAATATAAATGACTAAGTATTAGTAAAAATACAACTTACCAATTTCTGGCACTGCATTATTAATTTACATGTTTTGCGCCGATTTGTATAATATTTCAGCTATCAATTCAGGGTGACTCATAATTAAGTCTTTCCAATGTTGTGAAAGAAAAATAAATTTCGAATTTTTGCAAAAATATTCTTGAGCATAAGACATTAGTTCTTTGTCTTGATGCGAATCTGCAAGAACAAAAATGTCACAAACGTTCTCAACAGATAATCCTTCCGCTAAAATGGAGACACATTTTTTCTTCAATGAATCAATCTGATATTTATCGGCCGCGTAGTATAGCAACACAGCAGATTCTTGGCTTAGATCACCAATAGGTTCGAAATGCAAAAACTTTATAAACGAGGTCATAGTTTCAGTGTCGATATCATCAATATCAACTGAATTATATTCATTTTCAATCATGTTTTTATCGAACATGGCTTTAAAGACTGGAGATTTTGCACACAATACGGCTTTATGCAGGAAGAATTTCTTGTTTGGGGTGCAAAGTGTGACGAAGTTGAATTGCTTTTCAGTGAACATTTGAAGTAATTCGTCTTTGTCCTTAAAATCAACTATTTCATCGGTTTGAGTCAATTGCGTTTTCACCTCCTTAGGTTTCTGAGTTTGATTTGTCAGTGAGTTAATCTGAAACTCAAATGAAGGCGGGAAAGGAAGCAAGCAATTCGATTTCAAAGTTGAAAAAATTTGAGGAGGTCCATGTTGGCAATATTTTCCACTCATTTGGGAAAACAACAAGCACAGGGAAGTCTCATTGGCCATTTGGTTGTTAAAAATACGAAAAACTAATGTCAATGCTCCTTGGTATATATATAATTTTCTTTGTATTTCTATTTCTTCAAAACTCAAAAACTCAAAACCCCGTCCTCTTAATCCAGATTTAAATTCCATTTCCATCTTATCGAAAATAACTATCCAACCTGAACGTGTATATAAAGACAGGGTAACATCAAGTTTGGTACTTGAATCATTAGTTATTTTGTGAAGGTAGGTTTTCAAGCATTCTTCTTCATCACGGATTTCTATTTGCCATTGTGATCTCAAACTCTCAATTCTAAAAGGTGAACAGTAAATACTAATTTTGTTACCAGGTGTCCAAGTGAAATTTTCGATCCTCCAATAACACGTGATTCCTTTATACTCATTTTTAAGTCTCGTTGAAGCAGCCATAGTTATGAAACTTAGAGATACGTATATCAACCAGACAAGGGAAGATTTTAATTTATCTAGAGATGGGAAACAAGCAGCGATTTCGCAGGTACAAATTTCTCGTATCAATGCATTAATATTAAAAAAAGATCCAAAGCTTATTTTTATCTTTAAAGCGAGATAAAATATTTGTCTTAATTTCATAGCAGTTTATCGGCAAAAAAGTTTGAAATAATGATAATGCCTTGTGATAAAATGTGAAAAGTCTGTCTATCTGTCTGCAAAAACCCCAGAAGGAGAAAGTTTCCTAATATATAAGATAATTTTACTTTTATAACAAAACAGTTACGTTTAATACTATTGCATCTGATATACTACAGTGCGCAAAAGAAAAAATAAGCCACCCCGATTAACCTTTGAACATAAAAGATCTGATCTTAACGTTCTAAAGACTCAATCTTTAATGGCTCGAGAGGGTGAGCTCAAATATGTTAATTAATTAGTGCAGACGATATTTTAAGTAACCGAATCAGACACAAAAACGTACTTTCTCTGAATAAATGTATCTTTTTATGACGAGTTCAGATTTCTTTCCCCCAAACAAAATATTAGAGGTAGTCGCAATCTGAGAAATAGGATCCCAATAGTTTCAACAGGAGAGCTTTACAAATTTGGACCTCTTAATCCTTCATTTTACTTTTTGCGTATTTCACCATATTTTAAGAACTTTTTAAGAGAATTGAAAATTTTTTGCACTCAATTATAAAAATCATTTGTCCAAAGATTATTCCCTGCAAAAAATTAACTTTTAGTAAATATTTACTTTTTGTTATTTTGTTTAATAATAGTTGAAAGATTTTGAACTGTAAGGTATTTAATTTTTTCATTATTTTAAAGAATGTAACATGGCGAAATATAAGATTTGAGTCAAATCAGTCGAATGGGTCCTGAGAAATCAAATCTTAAATGTACGACTTTTTTGAAATTCGATTTTTCATTTATTCTTCCTCACGCATATTTATTTTTATTTAATTCCTGATTGAACAATTAATTCATTTGAATGATTTATTCATTATTCCAATCAAATAAAATAATCAATCAAATAAACCATCCATATATTATAAAAAGATTATTGTCATTCCTCCGTTTCGTGCGTTCTTATTGGGCAGAAAAATCACATGAGTACATTTATTAATAAGCAAAAATATCCAGATATCTTTGGTTGTAAATTAATGTAAGAAATGAAAATATTGACTTATAACTTATTTATTTACTTATTTTTAACTGCATTTTTCCTTGTTTACTTATCATCTCTTCGTTCTAATTCTTTGCTATTATTGCAGCTTTGGTTTTAATTATCATTATAAAGCAAATGCTTATGCTTAAAAGCACAATTTCTTCACTGCATTATAAAATTATTCGATTATATACACAACGTTTTATGATAAACATATTTTTTTACTGATTTACAAATATTATTAAGTGGTATATTTTCGTATATAACAAATTTTATGTCGAGTTTAACAAATGCATTGAAAATACAGAACAAAAATTTGCAAAGCAATATTAGGAATAAACCTGTCGCACAATTGCTGATGAAGCTCTTTGAAGAAAAACGTTAAACGAATTTTTATAGCTAATAAAAATTAAATACAAATAATAGTTTTTGAAATAAGCATAATGAAATTAAGAATGAACCAAGAAATCTGAATGAATACATTAAAAACTTTTTTTTTTTTACTATATGAGGTTCAATAAAAAAAATTCACATTTTTAGTTGAAATTTTTTTAATCTTGAACTTGTTGCATCTTTATAATTTTGAATTAAATAATTTTTGATTTCGGAATTCCCATTTTCATTTGGTGAAGGGAAATTAAAATGTAAAGACTATTTTAATTTTTACCTTTTATTTATAGAGTTGTTCGTTCTGGCATATTCAGTGTATAGTACTTATAAGCAGGTATAGCAGTAAATTGCCATGAATACGTGGTCATTGGGAAAATGATTCGTCTATGATGTAATATGCATTCCTCAATGATTCAAACTGATTACAAAATATTGACACAACCTAAAATTGCATTTTTGTTCAAGTCCTGAAATAATGCGTCAATAATTTCGTAACGAATAAAATCTGATTCCATAAGTAACCAAACATATTTTAACACTGTAGAAGTTATTATAACGCATTTCAAACGCACGGCGATACATTTTACAAAAATACATGAAAATAGGTCATAAAAATGATGACGATGTTTATTCTTTGCATGCCTCAAAGTTGACGTATATTTTTAGGCGTATTAGTTCCATCTTGTATTCTTTGCATTGTTGGTTGTATTAGAGCTTAACATGCCTTAGAATGTTTTAAGTTGCAATAGTGCAAAGTTGATGGTTTCTAATGGTGAAGTAAATGAAATAATGGTGATGGGTAAATACACTTTTCGACACACAATTGACACATGAAAATTACTTATTATTTTAGTCAAAGATTTTGCTTTTGTTAAAGGCGCAATCATGCTTAAAATATCTTCATATAAAATATGCGCAAAAAAGCTAAATTCATATTTAAAAGATACCAGAGGCTGTATATAGACACATCTTGATCGTCGTGATATTAATTTGAATGTATATGGAAAATATTCATTTTAAATTAGTATTACACAATTAATTAAATTATCTAAAACTTACATTTATGAATGAACTATTGTTGCATTATTTCACATCTCCTCAGACAATTTACTCAAAGTTTCTGCAACCAAATCAGTATGGCCCAACAATTCTTTCCATTGACTTGAAGACAAAATGACTTTTGAGTTTTTGCAAAAATGTTCTTGCGCACAAGTCATAAGATCTTTGTCTTGATGTAAGTAAGCAAGAAGTAGGCCCTCACAAACATTATCAGCGGACAATTCCTCCTTTAAAATAGAGACACATTCTTTCTTCAATCCATCGATTTGGTATTTATCAGCTGCATAGTATAGCTTGACAGCAGAATCCCAACTCAAATCGCCAAAAGGTTGGCAATGTAAGAAATTTATAAGCGACACCATTGTCTCATCTTCGATATCAGTGATGTCAATTAAGTTACTGTCATTCTCTTTCATTTCCAACTCAAACATGGCATTAAAAACAGGTGATTTGGCGCAGAGAAGTGCTTTGTGTACTGTAAACTTTTCATTTGGCGTTCGGAGAGTAACAAAACTGAATTCTTTCTTGCACAATTTTAATAAATCTTCCATTTCATTGTAATCAAAATAAGCATCCGTTTGAACATACTGTGTTTTGAACTGTTTTATTTTCTTAGGTTCAACAGTGCGCACTTCATTAGGATGTGAGTTACAGGAGCCAGAAAAATGTAAGAAGTCTTTAGGCTTCAGGTCCGTAAAAGACTTGATGGGTCTGTGCAAAGTGATTCCACTTTCCAATTTGGAAATTATCAGGCGTTGATAGCTCCGATTTTTCAAATTGCTACTGGCGAAGTGAAAACTCACTGTCAACGATCCATTCGGTAAATAGTACCATTTTTCTTCCACTAGGTCTTCTAAACTCAGTATCTGTGTTGATTTACAATTATTTAATTCAAATGTGAATTCATAGTCTTCCACCATGTACCATCCCAAGCCAGTTAAGATAGAAACGGTACAACTTAGAGACGCACTTACGGGATTTGATCTTTTAAAAAAATACATTCTTAAACAATCGTTTCTAGGAGTCATTTCGAGTTGCCACTTCGAATTCAATGATTTAATCTCAAACACAGGACTTTCTATTGTGAAACTATGTCCTGGTCTGCAAGGAAAATGTTCGATTCTCCAATAGATCGTAAATCCATCGTCATCAGTGTTTGAGGAATCCATTTTTTCCTAAAAAACGCACGAAAAAAATTAAAACTAAATGAAACACTTGCCTCTCTTTTACAAGGGTGTTGATTTGCATCACTCATATTATAAAGATAAAAGCTTATCAGTATTCAGGTAATGGGATTGTTATCGGTTAAAGAAAAAGGTTCAAGAGCACAACTAAATAAACTATTGCTTCCCTTTAGGGAAATCGTGTAATCTATTTTTTTTTCAATAATAACTCGATTTTTATTACTAGACATTGCTATATAATTGCACGATTACACCAAATTAATTGTATCCATGTCTACAGCGAGTTGAAAAATTTAATAGGGACCTACATTATATTTCTCTGAGAACCGAATCTTCATTATCTGGAATTTCATTGTAAAATCTGATATTTCAAAGTCGTACGAATCTTTCAAAATTTCACTATCACAACTTCCTGAAATTGTAAAAGTGTAGTGATTACAAACTCAAAGGGAAGGTAGACGATAGGGGACTATTGTGAATATGGGGGCTAGAATGAATATTTTATTTTATTACTTGGATACCTTTCCTCTGTGAAATATTGAAGATTAGGATCACTGCTATCACCTCCATATGCAGTTGTATAATTACACTGTGAATATTTTAGTAGAAATTCGTAAAAGAAGGTTTTTAAGATGCAAAAGTAACTTACAAGTTTTTTTCTTTACATTTTTATTAACCTATATTATTTTAATAATTTCAACAAATATTATTATTAATTTCACTGAAATCATTATCTAAAAGAATTACTTTAGCTCTTTAGAGTTAAGACGTTACGTTTTAACCATATTCTAGTAGTTTTGACCCTACTTTTTTCTCCGGATAAAAAATAAAAGCTTTATAGTATTTACATTTGAAAGCAGGTTTAAGGTAAAAAAAAATTACAAACTGTTGCTCTTTAAGATAAGATACCAGTCTTTTTTGTTAAAAACAATTCATTTTTGTAAGGCCTACCAAATTTATTGAAGGTATATTATTTAAGACTAATCTCTTTACCGAACCAATTAGTACAGTCTACAGTACAGTATTAGTACAGTAGTAGTAACTTTTGGTCTAATAATTGAATCTTTACGTTTTAGGACTCAATCATTTTAGGAATCAATCTAGAATCAGTCTGGGGTTCGTGGGTATGACTTCAAATATGCTAATTAATTAGAACAGACGATATTTTAAGTTACGAAATCAGACACAAAAATGAACTTTCTCTGAATAAACATATCTTTTTTTCAACGGATTTGCATTTCTGACCGCCAGATTTGTAGGGGGTAGTTGCAATCAAGTACATATAGTCCCCATGGTATGGTCAAGAAAGCGTTCCAAAGTTTGGACCCCTTAATATTAATTTTGTTTTTCACGTATTCCGCTATAACGCGAGAACTTTTTACGCAAATTAGAAAATTTTTGCACAATATTATAAAATTCGTTTATGCAAAGATAATTTCATGAAAAAAAAAACAATTTTAATTTCAGAAAGTATTTATTATCTTTTTTTATTATTTTATTTAATAACAGTCGAAAAAAGCTTGAAATGTAAGGTATAAAAATTTTTACATCATTTTAAAAAATGTAAATTTAATTTGAACAAAATCGATCGAATAGTTCTTGAGAAATAGAATTTCATAGAAGTCATTTACTTAAAATTCAATTTCTCAAGGTCTATTTAACCTATTTTGTTCAAATTTTGTATTTTGCCATATAAAATTACATTCCTTAAAAGTGATGAAGAATATTTATACCTTACAATTTCAATTTTTTTCAACCATTATTAAATACAAGATTAAAAAATAAGTAACTCTTTTATTCTGTGGCTAAAAGCTATTTTTTCCTGGAATAATCTTTGAATAAGTGAATTTCATAATTAAGTACAAAACGTTTTCAATTCACATATAAAATTCTCGAGTTATAGTGAAATACTCAAAAAGTAAAATTAACGGAGTCTAAACTTTGAAGCGCTCTCCTAGCCAAACTATGAGGCTCCTATCTCGCAGATTGCAGCTATCCTCTATATTTTAGGGGCCAGAAATCTGAATCCGTTGAAAAAAGAGGTTATGTTTACACTAAGAAAGTAGATTTTTGTGCCTGATTTAGTAACTTAAAATATCATCAGCACTAATTAATTAGCCTACTTAAGGGCACCCCCTCGAACTTGAGTCGTAGAACGTAAAGATCCGATCATTAGATCAAAAGTTATTCAGGATAGTTCATTTTTTTTCTCATTGTACAGCAGGTCCAGTTGGCAAAAATACGTTTCCTGTAAACTCTGCCACTCACAATATGTAGAAAGTATTATGTTCTTAAAAAAATCTTTAACGTTTTGAAATATTTTACTAAACTATTTTTTGATATTTCTTATATGAATAACTTGATTTATATTAATTCGATCAACTTGAAGAAATCAGTATTGAATAAGACCCAGAACTCAATCAACTAACAAGTTTAAAACAAGTAAACTGAGTATATAAAATGGTCGAAGATACAATATGGAGTTGAATCTTCGATCGAAGTTTCTTACTTGAAAAATTTTACTATCCGACGTGTATGACGCACTTCGTTAAAAAAAAACTCCTAATAATTTAAAAAAGTATACCACATTTGAGACAAGATTTCAAAATTATTTTGGTTATCACTTTTTGCATTAGAAAATAAAATAAACAAAATCATCTAAAGTCTAACACTCGTCCCGAATCTTAATTTCTAAATTACCTTAATTTATATTTTCAGTACTATTTATTGTAGCAACTTTTGGGCTCAGAATTAGCTGTTTTCTTGCAGTTTAATGATTTGAAAACCAACTACCGGCTCAATTCTTGCTATCCAACTTTACATTTTAGAGTGAAATTGATTTGTGACCATTAGTTTCCTTGCAGCTTGCACAATATGCCAAAAAATAGACAAACCTGAATAACTTTTGATGTAATGATCAGATCTTCATGCTCATTCTTCAATTTCATTTCAACATTTCAATTCATTTTGAACGCATTCAGATATCTGACCCACAAAATAGGGGAGGGGGATTGCCACAATTTAGGAAATAAGGTCCCCATAGTTTGGTCAGGAAAGTGATCCAAAAATTGGATCCCTTGATATTAATTTTACTTTTTGCGTATTTCGTCAAGCCTCTTAGAGCGTGAAGTTGAAAAAAAATATATGTTTATTCGGATAAAAAACGTTTTCGTGTCTTGTTCTTGTTAAAACATCGTCAGCACTAATCAATTCACCCCTTCTAACCATTAAGAATCTGTTCTAAAACGTGAAGATTCGATCATTAGATCAAAAGTTATTCTTGGTGGTCCATTTTTTTGGAGCACTGCACATTCAGTTTTCGGAATGCAATATTATTAGTTGTGTATAATTTAGATGCATAGAAAATAATTTCTGTTAATTAATTACTCCTCTCAGAATTATAAGCTTTTATTATAAATTGTAATGATTTAAGTTGTATATTGTTTAAAAGTATAAAGAAAGGAAATAATTTTTGATAATTCAGAATTAGAAACGTATTTTATTAACATACAATATTTCAAACTGCGTAATGTCTAAATTTACAGAAAATGGAAATAATGTTTGATAATCAGTAATTATTTTCAGAATTGTAAACTTGAACCACGTGGGATGATCAGCACAGCAGTCCAGATAAATACAACTAAGGTGGTGAGTTACATAGTTTGTCAATTCAACAAATCTTAAAACTCAAAGCACGCTTCTGTTTTTTTTTGTACCCAAAAATCACTAATCGATTGAATTATCTTGAATAGTAGAAACAAATTGCAGTTGAGCAAGTTTAGAAGATTTTCTTCCCTTTGTAACAGAGATGTTGTTCAGTTTTTCTCTGTAATTTCTTGGAAAGGAATTCGTTTTAATACTTGTCATCTGAGTTATAATCAAAGTTGCAAGTGTATATTCTTACCTGTTCAATGGTTATAAATAAAATTGAAGACAATATTCATTTGGACGATATTTTTTCTCCAGAAATGATAAAAAGGATTAAGATGCAATCATAAGACTGGCTAACATTTAATAAAAGAAGCAAAATTGTGCAAAAATACAGTTTCCAGAAACATTTTTAACTTTGTAGTCCTATAAGCTTTTAAATTTGTTGAAATAAATTAATGAATAAAAAGCAAATCAAATAAGTAAAAATATTACTTTAATAAATACTTTTTTAAAACTTATTTTCGAAAAGAATTAAATCGGTCATGGGCTGCAATAGTGGCACAACTAAAAAAATACACGTTCTGGAACAGGTGTAAATATGAAAATATACATTCTTTTCAGCAGCAATACTAGCACAACTCATAATTCAACTTGAAGGTAATCTTCGTTTAAGCAAACTGAAACATTTCTTATGCATTTTCTTTAGCAATGAAAACTTTAAACTCACTTATCTCAAATTTGATTTTTTGAGTTGTGCCGCTATTGCAGCCCATGAGCGAAATAATCTTCAATAAAAACGCTTATTAGATGTAAGTGGTTGCATCTATTAAACATTATATCTATTATACAGTATTTACTTACGTCTATTATACTGTATATCCTTACATAATTAACAGTCTATCCTTACATGTGATAATAACACTAATATCTACGTTAATAAGCATTGAATTGGATTGCAGTATTTAAGTTGTGTTTTTATTTTGAAATAATTTTTCATAAACCAACTGAAGTTATGCATACTTTATTTATTTATGTAAGATTATTAAGACACAAACAATATTCATTAATAAAAACAATAGTAAAAATACAATAAATTTTAATTTATAATAACGGAAAGAAAGTTAAAGATAAAAAAAACTATTCTAAAAATGTGAAGCAATTATCCATTCTCAAACATGCACAATGTATAAGCTCTTTTGGTAAATGAAAAAGAACACACGTACATAAATTTCAAGAAAATAATTTTTAAGTTAATAAAAAAAAATAGTCTAAGTATCGAATAACAGCTTTAATAATTTATAAATTAAAAAGATAAAAATCTATATTTATATGCTGCCAAAAATGTTGAAAAGCTTTTGCTCTTGATTTCATTATTTTTCAATGTATCATACATTAAATCAGTTCTTCATGGCTATTTCCTCCCCCTTTTGGATGTACATGGGCAGAAACCAAAATCTGAAAAGTAAATTAAGAAAGGTACATTATAAAGCAGTATCAATGAGCTAGAACTAAATATTATTCTAAATAACATTGTTCTAATAATCCTATCGTCAGGAACCAAAAAAAAATCAATCACAAGGTCAACTTCAAATGTGTTTATATGAATGGTTGACAGAATGTAAACAATAACAAGCTTCCTAAAACTTTCGGTGTATTCCTCCGCTTATGTTATGCTTCGGAGGCGATGTGTGAACAGGCTTAATATTCTTGGAAGTTTTATTATTGTGATTTGTGCTTAAATTTACGCGTGATTTTACCATTCATAATAGTTTTTTGTAACTTACAAATTCTAACTGGTTGTGAGTCAAAAACAGATTTAGGAAAATTAATATCAAAGCATAAATAAAGTGAAAGGTTGGCTATGTTTTCGGTTGTTGCTGTTGATGACGCATGCCTGTTTAGGCAGAGGGGGTGCTATTGTTCTTGTTTTCCAGTGGCACCATCTATGGCCAAGAATTCTACTTCTGCTACACCATACGTCACACTCATTTATAGAGCGGACCCATTCATACATCCAGTCATTCATCCACAGATCGTAATTTTGACCTGAATCAGAGAACGATCGATCTCCAATCCAGTACCCTCAGAGTTATTGATTTGTTATGGAAACATAGACAGATTTAACGTGCATCAGTCACTACACTACAGGGGGAGTCTTCGGACGGCGGGGTTCGAATCCACGAACTCTCGGACATGGGCCCAGCGCTCTACCGACCAGGCTATCCCGGCCACATGTTTTGAGTGTTATCCCTTAATTTGGCTATATTTGTATCCCCGTTTGATATTTTTTTGGTTGCATCATAGCATGCATGTGACGTCTTTCGAATTCATTTGTTGCTTGTGTCGTTGAACTTTGAATTAAAATAACTCGTATTTTAAACACTAATAGTATAACAATATTTAATGGCGAAGATTTTTCAAGTTTGATCGTAAAAATCAATCGGAAGTAGTAACTCGGAATTCTTATGACGAATTTTTGCCCCTAGCGCCATTAAGTGCTTAGCCGTTACTCAGTCAACTATCCATAGTTATAATTGATATCACGCACAGTTACTTGTTGTAATTTTAGCTAGGCATGTTCACATAGGGACTAACGTAGTTTTTCTGAGGTAAACATATATCTCAGGAATCTTACATGCTGCGTAGTATGATGCTATCTATATTTCAGTGCAATATCACCAATGCACTGAGACAACAGCTTATGTTCATTTCTATTCATAAAATTGCTTTTAATAAAATTCATAGCTGTCAATATGGATAGGAAACAATCCAGTAGATTTTACTATAATGATACGATTTCCTGATAATATTGTCATATAGTACTAAATATTTCACACATAGGGAATTTTTCAGGCTATTATTAACATCAATTATACTTGAAATGTTAAGTATTATGTTTATTCATAAATTTGAATAGTAATATACATTTAATTCAGCAAAAATAGTAAAAATAGTTTTTTAATTAATTTAAAAACTGAGTTCTGAATAAAACTAAACTGAATATGGGGAACGTAAATATCGACAATGTCAACCTTCATCTATGAAACAACTACTTCAACATAGAATCGAGTTAACATGCCTTTTAAATACTGATTTTCATAAATAAGGCTCACTTCATTATGTATTAGTAATACTTATTTAAATATTCAAGCAAGTAATAATTTGTACAAAAATTCCATTTCAAAAGGAATGTTTTAGGAAACTTACCAATTTTTGGGAATTTCATAAAATGTACAAAAAGTAAAATGTAAAAAAAGTAAATGTACAAAATGTAGGTGAATTTTTATTCGACCAGTAAACGAGGAGAAAAAATCAAAATCTAGTAGAGGTAGCAGCTATTTTAATTCAGTATACTCTTAACTCCATACTCTATATATTTCCATTGAGTATAAGCTACAATATGTATGTAAACACCATTTGCTGAGAGACGGAAATTCTGTAGCAGATATTTATATATTATTTTAACACTAATGGTTTTAGTAATCTGGTAATTGAAACTTTAGTATATTGGCATTTCTGATGCACATTTTAGTGTATAAAATGCTTTTAGCAATATTTAATACGTTAGTGTGTGATTTTTTCCCTAGTGCCACTAGTACCATGATTTATACTTCAGTATAATATTGTCAATGATTCATCCAATAACTATTGAAAAGAATTTTGGATGCACAGCATTTTGAATTCTCATATTAATTATTTATACAAATGTGTTCAAATATATTTAATACATTCTAAAACAAGTACAAGTAAAGATTTATTAAACTCTTGAAAAATTTGCATACGAAATAGCATAAGAAAAAGAATAAGCAATGGCAATACTTATAACATATTAAAATAATTTTAATCTATATACAAATTAGAATCGGATATAAATATTGGAATCGGATATATTTTATTCATGATATATATATTCTGATTCTTTTATTAACTGTTAAATCATCATAGTGGTAAATAGTGAAATGATATTTAAAGTGTATTTAATTTATTATTCATTTAGTATTTTTTTAAAAAAATTAAGCGTTGTTAGTTTTTTTTTGTTAAAGATTAATTATTTTCCTCCAAAGATAGCGTCATAATTAAAAAATGAAAGAATTTTTTTTATCCTTTAAGTAGGTATTTAAAGTATATAAATATAGTTCATATCTTACGTAGAAATTCCTGTTACACTAGTTGCTCTATCTTAACTATTTGGACGATGATTTCACAAATTAAGTGAATTTAGTTTTTTTCTTTCAGTATTTTCAAATGTGTGTAATTTTTGAGTTGCTACATTATTTTTCTGAAAAATGAAATGTTTTTAATCGTCACATAATCCGCTTCAAAGGTTTTTTGGGGAAAATTTTTATTAAATGGATCGCCTTAAAGAGATCATATTTCTTTAAAATGTAAAACGAATTTCAGCTTACCTATGGAAATCACAATCTTAAGTTAATTGGGAGATTGAATTTCATTACCGATTCTAGTAGCTAGCTGATAATTGCTTCGCAAAAATCTTTGCCATTCCGCTGAAATCAGAATTTTTTCGAAATTTAAGCGGAAGTATTTTTCAGCACAGGACATTATGTTCTTATCTTGATGCTTATCAGCCAGTATAAATAGATCAAGCACATTTTCTAATGATAAAACAGTTTCTAGGAAAGATCTGCAAAATTTCTTCAAACCTTCTATTTGATACTTATCAGCGGCATAATACAATTTTGTTACATCTTCCCAATGCAGAGTTCCCAAGGGCTCAAAATGCAAAAATTTTATAAGTAAAGAGACAGTCTCACTTTCAATATCATCTATATGAACTGAGTTCGTATCATTTTCAATCATATTTCTTTCAAACATGGCGTTAAAGACAGGTGATTTGGAGCACAGCACAGCTTTGTGCACCACAAATTCTTTATTTGGCGTTCGAAGCGTCACGAAGCTGAATTCTTTTTGTTTAAAAAAGTTTATAAGTTCTTCAGAATCATGGAAACCAGCACTTGTGAACGTCTGAGTTTTTTGAGTTAAAAACTGTTTCGTTTCTTTAAACTCATAAGAGGGAGGAAAGTGTAGCAGGTCGTTCGGTTTTAAATGCGAAAAAGTCTGTATTGGTCTGTGTTGTAAGTCGTTTCCATCACTGTGAGCAAACGAGAAATAATCAAAGTCTGCGAAGTGTCTTTGAATTGTTCTTCTTTCCAGAGATGAAAACCAACTGTCAATGATCCGTTGGGTAAATAAGTCCATTCTTGGTCATTCAATTCTTTAAAACTGATTAATTGGTCTACTCCGGCGTGAACTTGGCCTATTCCAAAATGGACTGGAACTTTCTCCAAAATTGTTATCCATCCCAAACTACTGAGTAAAGTAGTAGAAACTGTTACAGAATTTGTAACCGAATATATTTCTTTGACCAAATGAACAGATAAGAATCCATATTTTTGCTTAATTTCTATACGATACGTTGATTTTAGTGATTTAGTTTTGAAAGATGGACTACGAAGCAATAAATTCTTACCAGGCTTGCAGTTAAAATTCTCGATTCGCCAATATATAACTATTCCATTCATGTTTTCGTATTTTTCTGATGTAGTTGCCATCGTCTTTAAATGAAAACAATAAATGATGCTGAGAAACAATCAACTTTAAATGAATTGTTTGATAAAAGCATTCCGTTTAAGATAAGACAGAAGAATAACATTTTATTATCTTTGACAGCTGTAAGATACCGTTTATCTTTTTTTTTTGTATGTTTCTTTTTCTTCCTATTAAACAATACACACAAACGCCTTCTTATAAGCCTAAAAATTACATTGTCACTTTCACAAGCTCAGTTTACAGGATCGAGTCACAGCTGTCAGTTTTTATAAGTGTTCTATGAATTAATTGAAATGCTTGAAAATTACCCACTCTAATAGTCCAGGGTCACCGATTGAAGAGTGAAGGACCCTGGAATCTCTTCACGTATTGAAGGAATGAAAGAAATCTTGTAATATCAAAGCTGGGATTCGAACCACTGTTCAGCCGGTTATGAGATTGACCTTCTTAGCTTCAGTACGTACCCAGCTGCATAAAATATTTTTCTAAAGGTGGGCCTAGTAAAGCGGATAGAATTCAGGCTTTTCAATCGTTTTAGGAAGAAAAACAATCAATAAATGTGTTTTCTCACACTTAACAGTTTGAATATCATCTTTTTTATAGTTAAGCGATTGTTTCGGTTGAATATGGTAAAGTAACAATTAAAAAATTACCATTTTACCATTTTTACCGAGAATATCATACAGTGCACCTTAAAAGAATAATTTGAACCATAACTTGTTTTTTAATTAGTATCTTCCTTCCAAGGAACTTGACATTTCGTTCAAGCCTATTTTGATCCGGACGAGTATTTTTCAAAATAAGTAAAAAATAAAAATATTGTTTGTTACTATAATTACTATAGCATATTTAATTTGCTTTTTAGGAAACTAAATAGAATTAAATAATTAAGTTAGAATTCGGGATTTTCAGGATTTTCTTCGTTAGTTCCAGTCAGAATTTCGAAACAAGATAAAAAGGATTTTAATCGCTATAGTAAAAAAGCACATTTAAAAATTATAACATCTCTTATTCAATTTAAATTATTTTTCATGTCAATTTTAATGTTCCGCAAAAAAGCAAAAAGTGGGGCCTATTTTGAACAAAACGTAATACAAAATTAAAATTTAAATTATTTCAATGGAAACGTTGCTATAAAACTAGCTGAATCTCACCAATTATTACTTCATCTACTGTTAAATTTTTTCCGACAACTTGCACAGTTAAATCTTTCATTTTTCTTTACCGGAAAATAGTCTTATAACGTCTACAAAAAAAAACAACTTCTGATTGCAATTTATGCGTTCTTTGTCTTGATGTAAATCGGAAAGAATAACGCAGATATTTTCAACCGTTAACTCTTTCTTCAAGAGATACTTGATATCCTTTTTAAGAGAATCTGCCTAATATTTATCCGAAGCATAATATAACTTGATAGTATTTTCCCAAAGCAGATCATCCAGAGGCTCGAAGTGTAAGAAATTAAGAAATGTGGTCATGATCTGGCTGACGATATCATCTCAGTTGCTCTTTGTTTTCCATAAATCCTGTATCGAACACTGCACTGAATACAGGAGATTTTGCGCACCAAACAGCTTTGTGCACTAAATAGTCTCTGTTCGGAGTAGTGCAAAACTGAATTCCGTTTCAGCAGATCTGTCGCGTCTTTGTTATTGTTGTTATTTCTAATACCATTTACCATTCCAGCAAGCCTGGTATTTAAGACCGGAGAGGCATTTCTTGTTTTTCAGTGGCGCCATCTAAGGAAAAGAATACGACTTCAGCAGCACACACGTCACAAAACATTTATGCAACGGACCCATGGTTACAATTTGTTATGGAAACATAGAGGACCTTGCGACCCCGACAGATCTAGTTTACACCAACCGTGCACGCTTACTAACCGGGGAGTCTTTGGCAGGAGGGATTTGAAGTCACGATCTCACGAACATGAGTCCAACTTCCTACCAATCATGCTATCCTGGCCCCTAAATCAACTTTGGCGATAACTGCAACATCCAGAACTGAGATGGATCAGCTAATAGATCATTCGCCTACCAATGAGGTGAGTCGAATCCCAGTGATGGCTGGTTAATACGAATTCTTCCGCCTCCGGCTTGCACCAACCACAGTGCTTTCGTAAAATATCTTCAGTGGTAGACGAATCATTGGTTAGAGTCCCCTTACCATCAGCCTAACCGTGGGTGGTTAACGTGGCATTGCTCTCCATGTAACGCAAATGCGAGGCAGTTCCATCAAAAAGTCCTTCACGAAATCAAATTTCTCCCTATATTTGATACTAAAGTTCCTTTGTCTTCTGAACTGGGTTAAGACTACGGAGTTGAGCATTGACAGTTGTAAATCCAAAATTGGGTCTGCAGTTTAACAAATGTTATAAAATAAAATAGTTTCCGTGCCAAGGTATCAGACTTTTTTATTAATCCATTTTGAATTCATCAGAGTTTTTGCTGTCCACCCTTCTGTGTTTATTGAACTTATTGATAATGATCCATTGGGTAAACATTCTTTCTAGATTGAATAATTTTTCACATACTCTGCGACTTTAAATCTTATTTCAGAATCTTTAAAGGCGACAGTCTTTCCTGAGCCAGTTAGTATGGACACTGAATAGCTAATAGTTAAATCTTAGGAGTTAGACATTTTGGACAAACAGCCATAAATGTTGTATTTCCTCCGTGTAACTTCTATTTGCAATTTCGTATTTAGTTATTTAATTTCAAAATAGGTAAGAAATCATTATCAGGTTCATAATTAAATATTTCGATTTTCCTATTGACTGCGAATACTTTAACAGGGTTTGAATAGTCCACTCTTTCAGAAAGTGTTGGAATCTCAACAAGAAATTTAGAGCAACACAAAATTGCGACGTAAATTAATTTACTATAAACTAAATTTTACTTTACTTTCTACTATGGTATTATATATTATTTAATTCAATAAAATAAGAGAAGTTTATCTAAATTCAAGTAAGTGACAACAATTCATGATTATAATCGGTATATTTATCAACAAAAAACAAAGTACAACGTTGAACTTAGATAAAAAATTTTGAAACGATTTGTTTCATTTAATTAGTAGTAGCTGCTTTTGAAATTCTTATGTTTTACATTCCAAAGTTACATTCAACTTCCGTGATTGCAAGAAGATCCGGTTCAATCAATCCTGAATCATATTTTTAAAAAAAGTGAATCCATAGCTGGTTAGCTTCTAGTATAATCTAATTCCTATGCTATATTACAACTACTATGTTACAGAATACGATTGTTCATAATTTCATGAAAATTGTAAAAGTTATGCGAGAAATTATGCGAATAGTTTCAAAAGCATTGATGACCTAACTTTAAAATTATATTTAAAAAAAAAGAGACGAAATGGGCTCTGTATTACAATTCCTAATAATGAGGATACAAAGAATGTTCATGAAAAAAGTAAAATAACGTGAATAAAGAACAAATAAAGGCACAGAAATTAACTTACTATTGTTCCGATTCAACCTTCTTTTGCGTTAAAACAACTACTCACATACTATAAATAAATAAATAAAAGTGTGTTAGACACAGAGGATTGTCCTCGTTTATAGAACCGAAACTATATTATGCTTAATTCGGTGCCTTTATATGAGCTACATTCACGTTGTTTTGCTTTATTCATAAACTGATAAAAGTATAGTCAAAACTACCAGAATATGAGAGAATTCATCGTGTTTTTGGCTCTATGGAATCTCCAAAAAGCTCTGTAATTTATACCGAAGCGCTTTGGTATACGAACGATGAAGTATAGTTTTATAATATGCGATACAACTTTGTGTATCTCGTAAAATACGGTAGTTTTATCATGATACTTAAGAGCATGAAAAAAAGCCCCATTTAAACGGTTGATTTTACTTTTCAGTTTTGTATTTTTTACTAAAGTGTGGTGATAAGAATTATAATTTTGAAAACCAAAGAATTATAATTTTTGCCGGGAAACGTTGCCATATGAACAAAATAATTACCACATGAATGGTTTAAATTATTTTGGTTAGTATTAATTATTATCTATTTTATAAATAATTATCATATAATTATTATATATATAATACTAATTAATAAATATTATTAATAATCGTTAATAATTTCAGTTTTATCATTCTGATTTGATTTTTTGCTTTTTGCCACAAGTGTCATTACTATAAGTAATTTTACTAGAATTTCTTTTCTTAGCGTAAGTAACACAAAAGTATATACCTTATCCTCATTTGATCAAACGTTTGGGAAAAACGTTGAGACTTAACGAAAATTGTGTCATAAATTTTACACACAATGAAAGTTCTATAGTATGAATTTTATGGATACTTTGGATAAAAATTTATGTTTTTGTCAAAATGAAATCCAAAACTATAAAAGTTTGAATGTGATGCTTTGATAGATGAACAGAATATATCTTTCGTTAACATTACTGGAGTAAATTCAAAATGAATAAGTTTTGATTTGCGGGAAAATTTCTCAATAATACCGATTTCGATCAACTCTTATTTAGTTAAGGAGTGCGTTCTAAGTGTTATATGCTCCCACAGATTAGATAAATAATAAACTATAAAGGGATACATCAATAACGTTACATTAAATAAAAATTATTTAAAATTGTAAAACTGTTAGTTCAAATGCAAATGAAAGTTTAAATGAAAAATACCTTGATAAAAATATTATTAAAAGAATCATTAAAAAACTTACTTAAATGAAGTTTAATGAATTATTTCTATATGTTATGAGCTAATTTGCATAAAACTTCTGCAGCTAACTCTGTGTAACTCAAAAGAAAATCTTTCCATTTTTTGGAGGGTAGAATTTGTTTAGAATGTTTGCAAAAATAATCTCCAGCGCAGCTCATGAGATCCTTATCTTGATGCATATTAGCGAGAACAAAAGAGTCACAAATATTTTCATTTGTTAATTCATTTTTCATGCGTAAAACACAAGCTTTTCTCAATGGTTTTATGTCATATTTATCAGCAGCATAGTACAACTTCACAGCCGCTTCCCAACTCAAATCACCAAGCGGCTCAAAATGCAAAAAATTTATAAGTGACGTCATTGTTTGACTTTCAACGTCATCGATATCAACTACATTCAAATCGTTTTCTTTCATTTTCCGCTCAAACATGGCTTTGAAAACTGGAGATCTGGCACACAATACTGCTTTATGCACAGAAAATTCTTTTGTCGATGTTCTAAGAGTAACAAAGGAAAACTTTTTCTCCTTGAACATTCTTAGAAGATTTTCCTCGGTATTTAATTCTTGATTAGAAGTCGATGGTGGTAGCTGAGTTGGTGACTTTGTAGTTTCTCCGATGTGAAATTTGTAGGAAAGAGGAAAAGTTAAGAAATCACTTGGTTTTAGTGCTGTAAACATTTCGATTGGTCTGTCTATTCTTTGTTCTAATTCGCATTCACTTCTTAAACGTGTTGTAATTAAGTACTGGTATGCCTTCTTGTTTGTATTGTTGTTCCATAAACGGAAACTTACGGTTAAAGTCCCATTTGGCAGATAAAACCATTCATCTTCTTTTAAGTTTTTCACATTAATCAATTTATCTACTCCCCAAACATCTGAATTACCGCCAAATTTAACTTTTGCACTATCTAGAACCGAAAACCAACCACTTCCTGTAAGTATTGCAACTGAATAAAACAAACTCAAGTATTTTTCGTGTTCTTCTTTGGATATGAATGCCACTAGAAAATCACCACGTTTTTTAACTATAATTTTCCAATTCGTTTTCAGTGGTTTAATATTACATTCTGGACTTATCAAACAAAGACTATCATTTGGCAATGGGTTAAAATTCTCGATTCGCCAAAAAATTGAAAATCCACACAATAATTCCTCATCTTGTTTCGGAATGAAATTCATATTTATCAAATGGAATTGAACGTATGTCTAAATAAAAGAAAATAAATGTAGGGGAAAAACACACCGTTAAAGTTATCCAAACATTTTCCTATCATTTTTATCAGTCATAAAAAAATGATAAGAAATTTGTAATCACACATATTGCGTGTCAGCAAAATTCGATAGGTCAGCATTAAGCAGACCTATCGCATTTGCCAATAGCAAAAATGAGTGTCATAAATATTTAAAACTTGCATTAACGTTTAGCTTTTATTTTTTCTAAAGATGTTTTTATGTGACGGCGAGCTAATAAATCTAATTTCTGTAGTTATTTCAAATAAAAAAAATTTTATTCAATTCATTATTATATTTTTATTCACCATACTTTCATGCAATAATAACAACTTGTGCTTTTCTGTGACATTTCATTCACCTTTTGGAAATATACCAGAAACTTGGCTCAATTGTACAAGGATATGATCAAATGCTATTCAAATTTCTATCAATTTTTCATCAAAATAAATAACGTCTCTAAGTTCAATTTTAAGAAAATATTGCAATTTGTGAAGTGCCTATCACAAATCTGAAAAGTGACTACAAAACAAACTATTTAGCTAATAGAAATATAGTTTCCATGGTTCATATCAATGAAATGATTCCATAAAGTTTCCTTTGCTTTATTATAATTTTGATCAATTTTCACCAAAAACAAAAACTGTTTTATTTTAACATTTTCAAAAGGAACAACAATCTAGGTTCAAAGTGCTTGGCACCATTTTAAAGATTCGCACAAAAAAAAATCTAATTAGTTCACATAAATATTGGTTCCATTGTTCAAAAATTCTGATAAGAATATCAAATGTGTATCTTATACCATAACAATTTCGTTTTAAATTTTTTATCAAAATAAAGCTTTTTTTTAAATTAAATTTTAGAAAAAATTTGCAATAGTTTTGATAAATTACATACCTTAAAATAAAAAATACTTTGATTAGTAATTAAGTGCCACTGCCCGGTATACATTTGCCAGGAATACCCTACAACAATGTTTTTATAAGGTCGAGTACCACTGCCCAGTATGCTTTTAACCGGTACTCCGAACACTGATGTTTCTCCTTATCTATCCTCAGCAGATACTAAAATGTCGAATAAATACAATAATATCAACGAATTAATTAATATCAAATCGGATATAACAAATATTTCAGACATTCACCAAAGCGATTGCTGACATTCACCGGTAAAAGACGACATTCTTTTGATTTCGGTCATTCGCGGTAAACTATTATTCATGCATAAATGGTTCAGCATCTGCAGAGCTCCGATTTCCGCTTTATTTTTATGGTTAAGAAACTATGTGTTGAGAAACTCTGAGCTTTTTGACTTTACTAGTTTGACTTTAAAATTTAACCGTAACTGCGGTGTACCCAGAGTTTCATAAGTAAAGCAGATGTAGAATGATCGCCTCCGAGTTATTAAGTTGAGATCCGAGTTGAAATCTGCTGTTCTTTTTCAAAATATTAATGGGTCGTTTAATCTTGCTTTTTTTTCTTTCTTGTTTTTTTTAACGTTTCTTGTATGAATATTAAATGTTTTCAAAAAATGGACAGGAGTTAATTCCTTCAATGACAGACCTTTGTTTTTACTAATGACATCTTTCATTTCAAGAGTAACGACTTTTTAAATCGAAAGAAGAGAATTCTGTCTACCCCTGGATATATAGCAACTTTAAATATTACCTTACCTGAAATACAGGTAAGGCAATTTTACCTTTAATTAAGAAGTGAAATAAAAAGTATATATATTATTAAAAATATTGATTTTTATTCTATACTATGCTAGTCATAAATGTTTACAATACCGCATAACAGGGCTCGAAAAACTGCCCGTCCGCCCGTCCTCAGCGGTCAAAAATTCCCCACGGACTACGAATTTTTCGAATCCGACGTCCGCGCGGACGGCCATTTTCCCGTTTATGTTCGTGATACATTTTCAATTTTTGTTATCTTACAAGAGTCTAGAGCCTCACTTCTAAAATGACCCTTTAATCTTGAAATACAGCAACATACTGCGTATGGTGGAATTGATGTTTTCTCTGTCTGGGAGTACAGCAGCGGTTTAAAGGGGCTTTTCAGCAATGAACTTACAAAAAAACACATTACTTACTGGTCTTAAACGAGAAGCGTTAAACGCAATTATGAACATCTACCTAAATGGAAAACTCCTTTCAGATTTCTGTGCAGAAACCTCTGTAAATCATTGGCTTGATTGTGGAACTGGCAAACGTCATATTAGATTCACTTAAAAAAACGCAGTACCCTCAGATAAATTGACATTCCAGATAACTTGACCTTTGTCATTTAAATTATTTCATAAAAGAAATACTAGGCTACTATTAGTAATCTAGTATTTCTTTTATTACTGTATAATGTAATCCTAGTAACTACTAATTCATTGTGCACTTTATATAAATGTTTGTAATAAATATGAGAAAATTATATTTTTATTTATTTAGAAGCGACGGGTTAGTCTCAAAGGAGGACGGGTACATTGTTGGACAAGCCGTCCTCGGGGACGGGTAAAATTTCTGAGTTATTTCGAGCCCTGCCGCATAGATATGTATTCACGTTTTTTTAACCGTACCAGTTACAAACGATTTCAAAACCGTTAAGTTATAAAAGTGTTCCTAACCATAAACTTTATGATTAACCGGATGTACAGATTGCTACCGGTGATTTTACCGTAATTTCAGAATGAAAATTGTGACAGTTCATAGAGCGGTATATTACATTGCGACAGCTTTGGAACTTGTGCAGATTTATATTTCGCTATGCAATAATTTGGTAGTGTATCTTGGCTCATTGTCAATTTCTTAAATTGTGATTTAACTGTTAAAATCAGTTTCGTAGTACAAATAAATTTAAACAGATGAACAAACATTTTTCAGTAATATTCAAGATTTATTCAAAGCTGTAATTCACTCTCAAGTAAATAAACTCTTCGAAATTATTTTCGGACATAAAATTCTGAAAGATAATAATAAAAAACTAAAAAAATTTTTACGATAATAGTAATATAAATGATATAAACTTTCCTTTTGCGATACAACTTTTTATAACATCAATATTGACTTAGCGAAATTTTATTTATTTATTTAAAACCTTAAACGGTAAAGCAAATTATTTCCCTGCTGATCTTTAATCAGCAATCTTAAATGTATTGAGATTGCAGATTCTCAGGTCATTATTATTGCATTAATTATTAATAATTATTAATTTCTGATCTTGAAAGTGCTTTTTGAAGCACGTGTTTGTTGCTTTAGTGACAGAAAAAAAAATTGAGGGAGCATATCGCCATATGGTGTCTAAATCCCTTACAAATCCCTTTATTAATATTGTGCCAAACAAAATTAACCTTATATTAAACGCAAACCTATCTTTATAATTATTTTCAACCTAGTTACGAGAATAAGACGATCATCGAATCTCTATCTTGAACAGATGTAAACAAATTGAAATTTTTCTTATTAGTTTCAGAGATGAATCTCATGATTTAATCAATGCCGAGACACCTTTGAGAGAGTCAAGTGAAGTAAAAGAGACTGCTGATAGAGAGGTAATTTCAAGTTTTTTTTTAATCTTCCTCATATCCAGATTTGAAGAAGTGTATGGTGTTATACAGATTGCTTATTTAAATGCAATTTTATAGCGTACGAAATAACTTTAGATTATATCTACTTATTTTTAAATGGTGTAAGGGGAGGAAAATTAATACGATGATAAAGCTTAGATAAACACAATTATTATAAATGATTTTACTTCTTATAAAAAAGGATTTTTTGAAAAAAATTATCAAAACTATATATACAAAAGTAAATTTTAAAATTTCATTTCTGGTCTCCGAGTTCAAAAGTTTCAAAGCGGATAAATATAAAATGAATACCAAGAATCAAACTAATAAGATATATTTCTATATAAAAACTATTTTTTTTTTCGTATTTAAAATCATTGTCGCCATCATCTATGCCTTTCTTTTTTAATATCCTTATGTTCCTAAAAAATACTCAATTTAGCATGATATTTAGAAAATATCATTAAAAATAAAAATTGTACTGTAATTTATAAGCTTTAAATCCTTTAACCAGTATAGAGTAAAAAAGCAATTTTTAGCATGAAGGATTGGCTTTATTTCTCATAAAAGTACGATTTTCAGCTCACTTAACGTATAACCATGAATTTATCATTAGAATATTTTGCATTCGACTTACAGGAAAAAAAATTATGAAAAAACCCTATCCTGAACAGCATGATTTTAAGATGAGTCTCATGATTTTATTGATGGTGATCCATCTTTGAGAGAGCCAAATAAAAAGATAGAGAATACTGATTTGGATATAGAGAGATAATTTAAAAAATCTTTTTTTTTTTCATCTTCAGATATTAATTTAATTTTCATTCTAAAATTTAGGTAAAATAATTGGCAGTAGTCTGTTTATCTAATTAACGGCAAAGAACCCTTTTTACCTTTACGGTTTTGGAACTATATAAACTTGAATACAAAACTATGAGGCTTTTTAACAATTTGCCACTTGCATGTTTTTAAAACCGTAAAAAAGAAATTTAAGGCTTTTCGTTAGGTAATGGGCATGGGAGTTAGGTTGCGTTTTATCAAGTGACACCCATCGTAAGATATGAGAAATACTAGACTTTTTGTGTTCAGCAGCTTTATGGTGTTGCCCTCTAAGGGTTGCCATCTTATTACGTTGAACAGTATGAGGCAATCGTATGTCTCAATGCCCGTCAGTATTGCAGCCTGCATTCGCACTAGAGGTGGCCCTAGAGGGTACTAAAATACCCATTTATGTGTATTTTTTCTACCATAAGTGATAATTAAGCTTTGATATTTTAATCACTTAAGTACATAAGCGTCTACTTACGTAAGTAGAATTTTGTTTCCTTCTGACAAGTCTTTCTAGATGCTCTAATTTTTATGCTTGTGAGTACATTATGCATTGCTTCTTTAAGTTGTTTAGAATATGTATTTGAATTCTTTTTACAATTCAATATTTGTATTCCAGCTTATAAAACCGTAATAAGTC